GGGGGGGGGGGGGCAGGAGGCAGGCGCAGGGCAGGGCGAGTGAGTTGCGGGAGGGCACTGCAGGAACAAATCCGGCAGCAGCGTGTGATTGCTGCTGGCAGGCGCCAGCGGGTTGGGGGTGGGAGAGGGAGGCGGCAGGCGCTCACCCAGCTCAGGGACATAGGGGATGGGTGGGCGGGCGTCGGCAGGCAGCGCCTTGGAGCCGTAGAACAGCCACACAAAGCCGCCCTTCTCCTCCACTGCACCAGGCGGTCGTTGGAGGCACCGCAGGTCACCATCTGGAGCTGGTCAGCAGCAGCGTGCGCAAGCGCCTAGAGCAGGCAGAGGCAGCAGGTTTGGGGCAGGCACCACAATCACCTGGCCAGGAGTCCACGATGGGCCGCTTGGGCCACTCGCCCTTGTTGGCAGCAGCCTGCAGGCAGAGGACAGCAAAGTGTATGGTCAGTCTTTTCATGTCGGGGAAGAGGCTAGCGGGGCGGCAGCCAGCTAGGGGCTATCTCTGCGCACCGGCACATCCTGCAGGTGCCCCTCGCCGTCCATCGCCCAGCCGTGGTATGGGCACACCACGCAGGAGTGGCCATTCTTGTGCTCCACCCAGCCCTCGCTCAGGGGTGCACCCCTGCAGGCTCGCGGGACGGGCAGAGGACCACAGTTGAGGCCCAGCAGAACAAGCAGTTATGCTCGGAGCACGCAGGCAGAGAAAGCGCAAGCAGCGTCCAGGGTGAGGCGGGCCTCAGGCGCACCTGTGGGGGCATGTGTTGTCAATGGCGTGCACCTTGCCCTGCTCATCCCTGCACACCAGAGAGCACAGCAGCAAGGCTACAGCAGGCTGGGCGCCCCTCATGCACCCTTGCCCGAGCGATTGACGCCAGCGCCAGCAGCACCCACATCCAGCTGACCAGCCAGCCCCTTGCCTGAACAGCACCATCTCCTTGCCGCACAGCAGCGTCTTCACAGGCTCCTTGCCCACGTTGCTGCTCAGGGCTGCAGGGCGGAAGCGGCGCGAAGGGCAGCGGCGAGGTCAGCACCAGCAGACGCACGCCAGGCACCATGTCAGCATACCACCACCGCCAGGCCAGCAAGGTAGAACTGCCCTGCGGCGAGCTCAGCCCCAGGGTGCCAGGCCTGCGCCCGCCGATGTACCGCAGCTGTACCGCCACGCACCTGCTGCATACCACATGTTCTTCAGGTACCCCTCGCGGTCGCGCAGCTCCTTCAGGCGCTTGGCAATGGCGGCTGCAGGCGCGGCAGGCACCGGGAGGAAAGGGGTCAGCAAGCATTGCTGGATCAGGCAACGAGCACGACAGTGCCGTGCTGCAGAGGTAGGCTGTGCGGGGCCAACCACAGCAGGTGCAGTGATCAGCGGCCTGCAATCACCCTTCTCAGGGTCCTCGATTTCTGGCAGCGGCGGCAGCCCCGTCGGGCGGCGGCTGGGCGGTGCGGGCACCACGCTGTTGGCGCCGCGGGCCTTGGTCGGGGGCTGCACCACGCGGTCGGAGGGCGTCTGGGCCACAGGGGGGGAAGAGGAGACGAAGGCGGAGGCAGAGGGGGGAGCAGCGGCTGCGGCCGCATTCTGCAAGCAGGAGCAGCTAAACACCGTAAGTTGTGCGAAAAGGCATCACCGAGCACACCCGTGGGCTGCAAGAGGCAAGGCGTTCTGAAGGCACAGCCACAACAGCGGGGAGGATTTCAGCGCAATGCAGCACCCCACCTGGGGCAAGGCACCAGCAGATCCGGCAAGGGCAGATGAGGGGGCAGCCAGCTTAGCGCCAGCGGCGAAGAATTGCTTGAACAGCGTGAGCCGCCTGCGAAGCGCGGAGGCCAGGCATGCGCATGGTGAGGCAGGCGCGGCGGCCAAGGGCAGCAACACGCCAGCAGGCCGGCGCAGCTGTGATTTGAGCAGGCGGATGGCAGTATGTGCAGGCAGGTGTGAAGGAGGGCATGGGGGCAGCTCACAGCGGCAGCATCTTCTTGGAAGGCGTCATCAGGCCGGCAATGTCACGGGCGGCGGCGCGGGGGTCATAGTTGAACCTGCGGGAGGGCAGGCGGCAGGATGAGAAGCAGCGCTGCAGGAGGCTGCCGCAACACAAATGCCCTGGGCAGGACAGGGTGCCGGAGTCGGCCAGGGGTGCCCGGTGCGCACCCACCTCTTGAGCACCGCCATCACAGCTGCCGCCTCGACTGCGTACAGGCCGATCCAGGAGGCGCTGCAGAGAAGCGGCAGCAGGCATGGCACAGCGCGAGTTGAGTGGGCCGGGAGAGCGCTGCTGATGGCGCCAGCGGGCAACGCTGGCGCCCTCTCCCAACACACAAAGCCCTCTGCTGCCCCACCAGAGCAGGGCCTGCGGGCGGCAGCTCACAGCGCGGTGACGTGGTCGGCAAAGAGCAGCGGCGCAAAGTGGGAGGTGCCGGGGAAGGTGCCGCTCAGCACCTGCGGCGGCCAGGCAGCAGGCGCAGCAGCAACAGTAACATTGTGCAGATTTACGAAGCGGCGTACGCGGCGCGGTGCTGCCAAGCATGTCGCCCACCACGCAGGCAGGTACTGCTGCTGCTTCCCCGGCCTGCGCGTCAGCGCTGCCCCACCTGCAGCGCCACGTGGCCGCCCTCCAGCAGCGCGCCCATGCCCACACCAAGGAAGAAGGTGCGCAGGAAGGGGTCCAGGAAGGGCGCGCGCGCATCCTGCGCGGAGAGGTGCGGCACGCAACGTCACATTGGTGACGCGGGCAGGCGCAGCCAGCGACAGGTGCACTTGCCAGTCAAGGCAAACGGCAGCCACAGCCGCAGCCTGCCCAGCACCCTTGGACACCACCGCCAGGCACACGCATCCCTCTGGCAGGGCGTCTGGGCGATGGAAGCGCGCGCCGCCTGGCCTACTCACCAGCTCAGACGAGGCGGAGCGGACTAGACTGGTGGGCTGCTGGCTGCCACGGAACTCGGCTTGCTGCCGTGAGGCTGTCACTATGAGCGAGCGGCTGCTGCGCGCTGCTGCGGGGCGGCGCGGTGCCTGTCCAAGGCACCGGCAAGCGGCGGGGCGGGCGTCGCTGCTGCCGTAGCTGCGCGGGCCGGCTGCCGGGGCGGCCAGGCGGGTGGAGAGGGCTGCCTGCATCGTGCTGGCGTGCACTATGATACAGAAGGGGGGTGGGGGGTCGCGAGGAGGGGGGGGTCACGGGGGAGGCGAAGCGAAAAGCTGGGGCTCGGGAGGCTAGGGGGCTCAGGTGAACCGGGGCAGAAATCCAAAAAACAGGCGCAGGGCGTCCCCGACACCCTGAAAAGGCCTAGGCCCGGCTGCGTGGCGGCGGTGGAGCAGCTGCCGGCCTTGTCGGCAGGTTCCCGCCCAACCCACCGTCGCTTGGCATCCTGCCCCAGCGGTGGGCGCTGCAGTGTCCTGCCGGGCGTCAGGTTGCCTGAAGAGGGGCTGCCAGGCGTCGGAGCAGCGGGGCAGGTCGCGGGGCGGGGTGTGGGAGGATGCCCAAGTGCCTGCTGCCAGGGCGCGTCTACAAGGGCCCCGTTACGACTGCTGCTTCCCTGCTGGGCTGATGAGCATATGCACGCAGAGAAATGTGGTGCAGCTGCGGCGAACGTCAATCTGGCCTCTCCATGCATGGCCCATGCCGGGCGCAGCAGGGCAAGTTTCAAACCATTTTGGCGGCGCATCAGCTCCCGCCCGCCTCACCGCAGTGATCAAGCAGTCCCAGGGGCTGCGTGAGGGCACCGGGGGCTGTGCCGGCTGTGCGGGGGGCGCTGCACCGAACGGAGCGCCGGCGCGTGGCCAAGGCGCCGGCAGCAACCGGGGAGGTCCTCAGCCCTGCTGTCGGCTGGACAGGCGGAAAGGTCTGCGCCGGTATGCGCTTAATGCGCTGAACGCACAGTTACCGATGCCCAGTGGACCCAACGGTTTGAAAATCTTGTGGCTGGAAGCCCGCCAGCGCCCCGGCGCAGCAACGCCTTTGCCCTCACCTGTTGGCCCACAACTCACACTTGTGCACTGGGAACGCAAGGCGCAACTCTGAAAACCACAGTTCGAGCTTAATCCTCCTTCACAGCGTGCCTGGAAGCCTTTCTGCTTGGGTTCAAAGCGTGGGTGGGCGTGCTAACAACGGCCCCGTTCTGCACAAGTGTGATCTCATGCACCAAGCTCTCAACCAACCAGGGGGCAAACAAAGAAAAAGAATGGAGAGTTGCAGGCGGGCGCGCTGGCAGGCAGCGGACGTGGCGGACTGGGATGGGCGGCGGAATGAGGCCCGGCCCCTAAGATCCCCACGCTAACAATAATGCAGCAAAACCAGCCAAAAATCAGGCCACCGGGCTGTCGTCCAGCTGCTCCAGGCGCGGCAGCGTGAATTTCATGCGCAGCTTGTAGTCAGTGCCGGCGGCGCAAGGGTTGCCCCGCAGATACACGCAACTCATGCTACCGCGCTGGCTCTTTAACGCTGCTTCCACCTCGTCCAGGCTGCCGATCTGGTTGTCGTTGGCCCACAGATCGGTCAACTGCAGGTAGTGGGCAGCAGGGACGGCAGAGGAGAGGGCATTGACAGAGGTTGGAGGCAGGGGTGAGAGCAGAAAGCAGACCCTGCCAGACCGCAACAGCATGGGCCCCCTGTCGCACAGCACAGCCTCCCGATGCCCCTTTTGTATGCAAATGGCTGTGCATGCAGCAGCAACTGGAGTGGCGGTGGCGGCGAGCAGCGCCGGCCACTGCATCCACTCCAAACCCTGGTGGCACCTGCAGCACGCCCAGGTTCCCTATCCGCTGGATGCGGTTGTTGGCAACATCCAGAATTTTCAGGTTCACCAACCGGTCCAGCCCTTCCAGCTGCTCAATGCCGTTGTGGCTGCATGGTCAATCAGGCAGACAGGGGCAGGAGAAGGCAGGCAGGCAGGTGGGCGCGAGGCGAACACTGCTAGGCACGATGCTTGCTTGAGGCTTCAGAAGAGGCAGGAGAGAGCGGCAGATCAGGGCATGCTGCCTGCAGCGCACTCGCTGATCCCGGGTCTCATGCGCCTGCGCCCCTACCTGAGGTACAGCTCCTCCAGGGCGGTACAGTGCTGCAGCCCTGCCATTGACGTCAATCGATTGCTTTGCAGCGACAGACGCCTGAGGTTGTGGAGGCTGGACAGGCAGTCCCCAAGTTCAGCGATGCGGTTGCGCCCTAGCCACAGCTCCTGCAGCAGGCCGAGTTGCGAAAGGCCTGCGGCAAAGCGCAGGCAGCAGGCAAGCCATGCTAGGCTTGGTTGCCGGCAACAACAACAGTGTGACGATTGCTATCTGCAAAGCACGGCACAGGCCCTCATATGCTCACCCCATTACACACCTTCCAGCGACCGGATGCGGTTGCCGCCCAGCTCTAGGGTGTGCAGCAGGGCGAGTCGCTCCAAGCTCTCAATGGCCGCAATCTTGTTGCAGGCCACAAACAGCTCTGTCAGCTGCGTACTGCCCAGGCTGCTTAGCGGCGCCAGCGAGCGCACCTGCATGTGGCGTGGCAGCTTACTGGAGCGCGGGAATGGGGGCCGATCAATCAGGCCAAGGCCTGGCAGGTGTCGCCTCGCGCATGCTGCCAGCCATGCACACCTCATTGTACGACACCTCCAGGTAGCGCAGCGAGGTGAAAGCGGCCAGGCTGGGCAAGGCCTTGAGCTGGTTGTCCCGCAGGTCGAGCGCCTCGAGCACTGCGGACGAAAGCAGAACAGCGAAGGAGAGCATGGAGAGGGTGGCACAAGCAGCGTGCAAGTGGCCGAAGGGTGAATGTGCACGCATGACAGCGCTGAATCTCCCCTAGCGCTGCTGCATCATGGAGCAGCATGCCGCGGACAGTGGGCGCACCTGGCGCACTGGCCAGCGCCTCCACCTCTGCTACCTGGCTGACCAGGTTTTGGCGCAGGCAGAGGCGGCGCAACCCCGTCAGCGCCAGCAGGTTGGGCTCCATGCTGCGCAGCCGGTTAGCTGTCAGGTCCAGGCTCTGCGGGCAGGGAGCAGGCCGTGTGCGCAGCAGGGGTGGCGAGCCTTAAAGCACAGCTGGCTGCACCAAGGCAGCAGCAGCAGCGGCGGCGGCGGTCGCGGGCGACGGGGCAGGTGTGCCAGCGGCCTGCATACCGTCAGCCCGCTGGGCAGATCGACTTCGTCCAGCGAGGGCAGGTGGGCATTGGTCAAATCCAGCTCCGCCCCGGCATCCTCGCCGCCGGACATGATCTGTTGGGGGAGTGCCAGGGCCCTTGTCTTGTTTAACGGCACTCGAAGGCAATGGGTGCTGATGGGTTTGCATGTGCACACGCATGGGAGTCTCTTCTCTGACACGGTCACCCTTTGCTGATGGTGGCAGGATCGAATCAAGCTCAGGGCTCATATCAGGCCAACCACAGGCCAACCAGCAACCCTTTCTGCACGTGTGGAGCACGCTGAAAGCGCTGGTCGCCCAAACCCCTAGCAGCTGCAACTGTGAAGGGCACCGGCCAGCATCGAACCATGCACGCGTGCACGCAGCAGCAGTTTTCAGCCGTCCCTGCGGCGTGCTGGCAGAGCAGGCAGCAGCAGCAGCCTGCGCTGGCGTTCAGGCGGTCCGCTGCTGTCGGCGGCGGCAGCAGCGGCGCCCTGGCGGCAGCAGCGCCCAGGGCGGCGCCCTGCGCGGCGGCACGCAGCCCCCGCAGCACACAGCCCTGCCGCGCGGTAGCAGCGCCTGAGCGCGAGGCGCCGCGGGCGGCTGCCCCCAGCGGCAAGCCGCCGATGAAGGTGGTGATTGCGGGCGCCGGCATCGGCGGGCTGGTGCTGGCAGTGGGCCTGCTCAAGCGCGGCTTTGACGTGACGGTGCTGGAGCGCGACATGACGGCCATCCGCGGCGAGGGCAAGTACCGCGGCCCCATCCAGGTGCGGGCAAAGCCGGCCAGGCCTGGGGGGGGGCAGTCGTGGGGCGCCGGTCCCCAACAGCCAGCCGTGGCTGCAATGTCACAGGGGGCGCATGCGGGCCGCCAGCCGCCGCTGTGACGCACAGTGCAGGCACCTTGCTGTGACTTCCGCTGCCCAGCACGGGAGTCAGCAGTATGCTTCGATGCAGCTATAGCTGCCATAGGGTTTGGCATGCTGCAGGCAGGAGCAGCTGTTGGGGTTGGGCGCGCTCTCCCGCTGCACTTAGCTGCCCCCAACACACATGTTCATCCGACTGACCCGCCCCCTCACACCACACCGGCACGTCCATTCACTCTGCAGATCCAGAGCAATGCCCTGGGCGCGCTGGAGGCTCTGGATGAGGGTGTGGCACAGCGCGTGTTTGAGGAGGGCTGCATCACAGGAGACCGCATCAACGGCCTGTGCGATGGCGTCACTGGCGACTGGTGCGTTGCGGCTCGGGCCACGCGTGCAAGAAGGTGGCAGGCCCCTGGGCACAGCGCAGGTGGCAGCTGGAGCATAGGCGGGCGACGCAGCCGGGGGCGGGGCTCAGGCGGCGGTGGCCAGCGTGCTGCCGCTTCACCATGCCCGCCCTTTGCCTCGTGTTCTCTGCCTCATGTACTTCTGCACGCCCGCTGTGTCGCGTCCATTGCCTGCAGGTACATCAAGTTTGACACTTTCCACCCCGCCGTCGACATGGGCCTGCCCGTCACCCGCGTCATCTCGCGCATCACGCTGCAGGTGGGCAAAGGCGCGGCGAGGTGGGATGTGCGGTGCAGGCCACAGCCGTTGCGGCGGCAGGCGACTGCCCCTCCGCCGCACTGCTGGCTGCTTGTGCCCGCGCCAGGCCAGCCAAGGGTCTGGCCTTTTGCTGCCTGCCGGCGGGCCGAGCTGGGGCTAGCGGTTGTGCGGCACTGCGCTGTGCAGGAGATCCTGGCGGACGCGTGCCGCGAAATTGCGGGGGAGGACGTGATACAGAACAGCGTCAACATTGTCGACTATGAGCAGGGTGTGGACCCAGCCACCGGCAAGAAGGTGCGGCGTGGGGTGGCGCAGGCGCGGGGTGCATGGGTGTACAGGCGCTACACACGCTGCCTGCTGCCCCACCCCCACCCCCACCCACCCCGCACAATGCCACCACCACCACCACCACACGTGCGAGCATGACCTGCCGCCCCACCTGCCTTTCCCGCGCAGATCGCCACCGCCATTGCCGACGACGGGCGGCGCTTCAGCGGCGACCTGCTGGTGGGCGCCGACGGCATCTGGTCCAAGGTGCGGCGCAAGATGCTGGGCGACTCGCAGCCCAACTACTCGGAGTACACCTGCTACACAGGCATCTCAGACTTCACGCCCGCAGACATCGACACGGGTGCGGCGGGGGCGCGGCGCCGGTGGCACAGGGATGCAGCAACCTTGCTGGGGGCGGCTGGCATGCTGCCGTTCCAAACGCCCACTCCCAACCCTGGTCCAGCACCCATCCGCCCCACCCCCAGCCCCATCCACCTCCTCTGCCTGCCGCCCCCTGCCGCAGTGGGCTACCGCGTGTTCCTGGGCAACGGCAAGTACTTTGTCAGCAGCGATGTGGGCGGCGGCAAGATGCAGTGGTATGGCTTCCACAAGGAGCCAGCAAACGGCACAGGTGAGCAACAGTGCAGGGCGGTAGCAGCATGTGCTCCTGGGGAGAGCTGCTGTCGGCCGGCCCGTGCCCTGCGTGCGGCTGCTGGAGGGGACAGCTGGCGCAGCGCAGGCGGCTGCCCTTGCGGTGCTGACCCCGCGTGCCAGCACCGCGCTGCTGCCCTGCAGACCCGCCCGGCGCCCGCAAGCAGCGGCTGATGGAAATCTTTGGCAGCTGGACGCACAAAGGTGAGGCTGCGGTTTGGCTGTGGCGGGCAACAGCAGGCAGCTGTCGCGGCAGCAGGCGTTCCCCGCCAGTCCCTCGCATCTCGCACCAGCATCAACAGCGGCGGTGCCGCCTACTGTGTGGCAGCCTGACCCCGTCCCTGCTGCCCTCCCGCCCCTTCCATGCCGCCCTTGCCTACGTCGCAGTCACCGACTTGCTGAAGGCGACGCCCGAGGAGGCCATCATGCGGCGCGACATCTATGACCGCGCCCCCATCTTCAAGTGGGCAGACGGTGCGTTCCGGCAGGGGCCCCCACCTGCTGCTGCCCTGCGCTGCTGACTCGGCGCTGCGATGTCGACTTTGCGCTGCTTCCTGTGGCGCTGCCTGCGCAAGCCTGGCCTGCCTGGCGTGCCGCGGCGGCCCGCCCAGCCCTGCCCTGGCCCCTGACTGGCCCAAACCCGTGCCGTGCAGGCCGCGTGGCGCTGCTGGGCGACTCGGCGCACGCCATGCAGCCCAACCTGGGGCAGGGCGGGTGCATGGCGATTGAGGATGCGTACCAGCTGGTGCTGGACCTGTGCCGCGAGGCAGACGAGGTGGACAAGGAGGCGGCGGCGGGGCCCCGGCGCGACATTGATGTGGAGGGCGTGCTCAACGGCTACATGATGGTGCGTGCAGGCTGCAGGGGGAGGCAGGCGGGGAGGCAGGGGATGCGTGCAGCTCCCAGATCAGGGGCGGGCAGGTGGCGCCGCCGCGCGAGGGGCGGCAGCCGGAGTGAGGCAGGCATCCCTTCCGTGCGTGCCGCTGCTGCGCTCACCCCCCCCCCCCCCTGCGCGTGCGCCCGCCCTGGGTCCCGGCCCCCGCAGAAGCGTGTGGTGCGCGCAGCCTCCATCCACGGCATGGCCGGCATGGCCGCCTACATGGCCTCCACCTACAAGGCCTACCTGGGAGAGGGGCTGGGCCCGCTGGAGTGGATCACCAAGTTTAAGATCCCGCACCCGGGCCGCGTCGTGGGCCAGGTGAGCCGCTTCTGCAGATTGCAGCGCTTCGGTTGGGTTGGGCCGCGCAGGGCTGGCAGCAGGCAGGGGATGCTTGGGCCAGGGGGGCAAGCCACGTCTGGTGCTCCTGCCAATGTTGCGGTGAGATGCATGCTGCATGTGACTCGCATCGCGCCCCCCAGTTGTGACGCGCCCCATTGTACCGCCCTCCCCCGTTTTGTACTGCAGGTGATCATGAAGGCCACCATGCCGGGCACCATGAGCCGCGTGCTGGGCGGCTACCGCAAGTCGCTGGCGCAGTCGGACCGCGTGCCGGTGTGCCACCTGGCCGACCAGCCGCGGGGCTTCCCTGAGAGCCTCTTCCCGCTGTACATGGAGGATGATGATGCCCTGCTGCGCGCCTCGCACGCCTACTGGGTCCTCACCCCCGTCACCGGTGAGCTGCATGGGCCGCATCCGATCTGCCACATGCATCGTCAGCAGCCTGCTCAGCCGTCGCGTCTCGGCAGCTGTGGTGTTACAAAACACAGCTGCCAGCAAGCAAGAACCGGCAGTGTATCTCAATTCAACGCCGCCCTCACGTGATCCCTGGCCTGCAGATGGGTCAAGTGCGTCCCCCGAGGCGCTGCACCTCGAGTTTGAGGCAGCCAAGCACCAGTCCCCGGTGATTAGCCGGGAGGGTGTCACCGTGGGCACGGGCGCCGGCTGCGACATGGTGCTCACTGCACCCACTGTCTCGGAGCAGCACGCGCGGCTGCACCAGTGCGGTGAGTCTGGACAGGGCTGCTTGATGGATGGCCGTGGGGGCTGGACGCACCAACCTGGCAGGCCTTCCCGACTCGCCCCCTGCCAGGTTCGCATCGCGTTTGCCTACCCCTGCTTCGCCAACCCTCATTTTGCCCCCTTTCTTCCCGCCCTGCAGAGGCGGGTGACTATCACGTCACCGACCTGGACAGCCAGTTGGGCACGTGGGTCAACAGCCGACGGCTGCCGGCCCGCGTGCCGCAGCGCCTGCGCCCTGACGATGTTGTGAGCTTTGGCGCACCGGGCCAGGGCAGCCTGGACTTCAAGGTCTGCATGTTCCACAACAGCTTGCTGGAGAGCGGCGGCCGGCATGGCAGCTACGACCGGCGCAGGGCGGCGGAGCCGCAGGTGGCGCTCAGCGGCAAGTGAGCCGCCAGCTGCCGCCAGCTGGTACCCGGCCCACTCGTACTGGCTTCGTCAGCAACCGGCTGTGCACCGGTGCACCGGTGCATTGCACTTTTTTGGTGCTTGCGCAAGTAGAGATCAGCAGACCACGAAAAAAAGAATGACACCTCCTTCGCTGTGTACCAACCCTCCTCACTTGTCAAATTTGACTTGGTTGCACGAGCGTGCCTCAATACTGCTCTAGCAACCGCGCTGAAAGTGCCCTGAGATGCCCTCCCCGCTTTTTGTTTGTGCCACTCTGCACCTTGGCTGCCACAATTGGTTTCATTGGCCCCACAATTTATCAATCAAATCAATCGATTTAGTTTTAGGTGGTCTCCGCTTACAAATGGCTGTTGGGATTGCTGCGGCTCTGGTTGTTATGCTCCTCTGTCTTCTATTGCCACTGTCCCAGGCTGTACTGTGCACAAACGCCCTTTGTAACTTCATCACTCCCAGAGGATCACTGTTTGCCCAATGTCTGTGGCAATCAGAGTACAATAGGGCAGGCGGAGGCAGCGAACAGAGCCATACAAAAACAAGAAAGAGGCGATTGCAAGTTCATGGAGGCATCAGCTCCCATGGATGCTGTGGCGCTTTAGCCCAAGGTCAATGTGAAAATTAAATCAATTGGGACGACTGGTTCAAGAGACCGAATTGGAAACCTTGCGAGCAGGCAGATCGCTGTGCAAGTCGGTGGTGATGCAGCAGACGTGGGGTTGAGGCAAGCTCACTTGAGCAGGCTGGAGAGGCCATGAGCCAGGCTCTCCTGCAAGGCGGCCGAGTTGGCCTTCAGATTTGCCAACACATCATTGGAGCTGGCCTCGAAGGCAGTCAACAGCCCCTTGCCACTCTGCTGGAGGCTGCTCACATCCACACTTGAAGACAGCTCGATAGCGCTCTTCTGGAGGTTCGCTACTATGCCAGCCGCGCTGCTCCTCACGTCGCTCACGTCAACGCTCGATGACAGCTCGGCTGCGCTTGTCTGGAGGCGCGTCAAAGCGTCAGCCGCGCTGTCGCTCAGGCCGCTCACGTCCACGCTTGAAGACAGCTCAGCAGCACTCTTCTGGAGGGCCGCCAGTGCGCCAGCTGCACCGCTGCTCAGGCTACTCACGTCCATGCTCGATGACAGCTCAGCTGCGCTCGTCTGGAGGCGCGTCAAAGCGTCAGCCGCGCTGTCGCTCAGGCCGCTCACGTCCACGCTTGAAGACAGCTCAGCAGCACTCTTCTGGAGGGCCGCCAGTGCGCCAGCTGCACCGCTGCTCAGGCTACTCACGTCCATGCTCGATGACAGCTCAGCTGCGCTCGTCTGGAGGCGTGTCAGTGCGCCAGCTGCACCGCTGCTCAGGCCGCTCACGTCCACGCTCGATGACAGCTCAGCTGCGCTCGTCTGGAGGGCCGACAGTGTGCCAGCTGCACTGCTGCTCAGGCCACTCACATCCACGCTCGATGACAGCTCAGCTGCGCTCGTCTGGAGGCGCGTCAGTGCGCCCGCCGCGCTGCTGCTCAGGCCACTCACGTCCACGCTCGATGACAGCTCAGCTGCGCTCGTCTGGAGGCGCGTCAGTGCGTCAGCAGCGCTGCTGCTCAGGCCGCTCAAGTCCACACTTGAAGACAGCTCCGTCGCGCTCTTTTGGAGGGCCGTCAGTGCGCCAGCCGTAGTGATGCTGAGCTCATTCAAACCCACGCTGCCGCCTGCCATTACGCTTGGCAGCTCCAGCCCTGGGACTGCGTTGAGGGCAGCGATGCCAACAAACAGGCCGCCGGCGCAGAGAGGCAGGAGCACAGGCAGCAAGCCACTTTTGGAAGTGGTTTGACCCCATGCCTGCGACCTGCCGTCCGTCATCGCCTTGCTTGTGGTTGCCGCCTGGCTCTGCCGCTGCGACTCGGCGAGCTCTTTGGCGGCCTGCTGCTGCCGCTTGACATCATCCTCCACAATGATCTCCTGCTGCTGGGTGGCCCAGCGTTTCCCGTCGACGCCTGATGCCTCATCCTTGGCATCAGGACCCATGGGGCTGACGTCCTTCAAGGATGGCAAGGGATGTGGCGCACCCGGACCATCCCCATTCACGGCTGTGGGTTTGCGGCTGGTGCCGTCTGGCTGCACGGGGGCTTCAAGGGCGGAGTCCGGGGACGAGCTGCAGCAAGGAGGAAAGTGCAGTGAGAGGCAAACAATCGAGGGGAGGCCAGAATGAATGGGCTGCCAGGAAGGGAGCGTCAGGGACTGACGTGCCAACACAGCCCAACATCTCTGCTGGCAAAGTGCTGCGCCACATCACTGCTCACCTGCTTGCCATGGGCGTCCCACCCACCACGCTGGGGAGTGGCTCGGGAGTGGGGAGGGTCGCAGAGGCCTCCGCCATGGCAGCCTGCAGGTGGGCAACGCAAGCATAGGGCATGTGCGGCGTGGAGTTCACCACAGCTGACATGCAAGCAGCCTGAGCGAAACTGGGGCACATAGTGACTTGCAATTAGCACTGACCTTGGGTGCAAGTTCAGCCAGGTTCATGTCGGTCGTGTCGCCAAAGTGGCAGGTGGCACGCAGGGCTGGGCTGCCGGCAGGCGCGGCAGCCACAGCCACTGGCAGCTCGCGGTTGTTGCCGTCCTCCCACTGTTGCTCGCCATCACTGCGCATGATGACCAGCTTGAACAAGTGCTCGCCCGGCGGTAGCGCAAGCTCGGCAACCCAGTTGTTGCCTTCCTGCCAGTCCAGCGATGGTGCCGACTTTGCATCCCAGCCTCCCATCTCCGCGCAGCTGCCCACCAGCCGCAGATGCTCGCCAAACTGCAGGGGACAGTCTGGGACCTTGACCGCCACCAGCACCGAGCTGCCACTGCACGTGCCCGGCTCCGCAGCAGTGCTGGCCGCCACGTGAACAACGGCCAGCCGGTTCCGGACACCCTGCAGAATTGCCAGCAGTGGGACACGGGATGCACATTGGGACAAAAGCAACTGAGCAGAGCCTTGCGCCGCAGCTCGGGCTGCTGGCCAGCCGTGCCGCCTCTGCCAGCGCCGCACCTGGCGGCCAGAAACTGTCAGGCGCATTCCTCCCAATTCGTGCTGCTTGAACGCATTGATCGCAGCTGCACAGCACATTAGGGCAAGGGATCGGCGTGGCCTAGGGTGTGGGGTCGGCGCAAGCCGATCAGCATTCTGACAGCGAGCAGAAAATTCGCTCACCTGTGTGCCGGCCGGTGGAGGCCCTGGGCTGCATGGGCTGCCAAGCACAGGGGCGGGCCCCGCAGGCCCACACACTGCTGCCCAGCATTGAAAGTGTGTGGGGTGGCGCTTGATTGATTGAATGATGGTGGCAAGCACTGAGTCAATACAAGCAATTGCACCTGTCACCTGTGATCTCTTAACAGGTCCGTCACGCCATGCGCGCGCCCCGTCAGCGCCGCTATGAAAACCACGTTGCCGCTGCCTACTGTCAGACACATCCCAGGCAGGTGATGGCTTTCTTGCAGCTTCGAAGATTCGTCTTGCACGGCCACTCTTCCATAGGATACGCACTCAGCATTGCACCTTCGCGGCTTTTGGCGGTCGATTGCGCCGTCGCGGCTTTTGGCAGTCCAGACCCTGAAGTGTGCAGCAGGCACCCACACATGCCAGTGATGTTTACATCTCAGGGCCACAATTAGTATCCATCTCAGGGTCCTGTACATCTCAGGGATCTGTGTGTAACAGCGGGCGCCCGCGCGGGCGGGTACAAGCGGCGGGACGCCGGGGCACAGCAGACACTCTTGTTCGCTGCCGCTCGCTAGTAGACCGCTACAAGATTACAACACAGGACAGGAGTGGGTCCAACCAGGTTTGGACTCCAACTGTGCATCTGAAGGAGTGTCGGAGGTCGCTAGCTGGTCACCAACTGGCCGGCAATGGCGTCCCAACCCTCACAAACGGCGGCCGCCCGGCTGCTGCGATCTTCATGGATGTCGGTGCGCGGCACAAGTGAACTGGCTGCTTCGAACGTCGGCCCGAGAGGTAGAGATGGGTTTAAGGCTGTCACAATGAGCATCAGATGCAGCGCCCTGCTGCGGCCCACAGCCACCGGCCTGCACCGCCACCACCCACACGTGCGCCTGCTTGCCTGCGCCATGCAGTGGGCCCTACAATTTGGATCCCCAGTGAGGATGGCCGGCTGTCGGTCGTCAGGGGGCTCAGCGACGCGCCCATCCTGAATTGCACCATCCCGGCGCTGCTGGAGCGGCAGGCGCTGGCCTGGGGGGATAATGAGGCCGTTGTGAGCATGCACCAAGAGACACGTCTGTCCTACAGGGAGCTGCTGCGGCATGCCAACGAGGTTGCCCAGGGCCTGCTGGCGCTGGGGGTGCAGGTGCGGGCGTGGAGCGAGCAGGCATTGAGGAGGTAGAAGCAGCCCTTGGCAAGAGATGGGCGTGCTTGTGTGTATGTCATCTTAAGAGCTTGCTTTGTGCATGCGCTAGCATAACATGACGTAGTAACAATGCAGCGACGGGACCGAGTGGGCATCTGGGCGGGATCCTGCGTGGAGTGGGCGACTCTGCAGTACGCTGCTGCCAAGGTGCGGGGTGCGCTCACCAGGCCGTCTGCCGCGGAGGCCGCCCTTCTTCTTCTTCTTCTTCTTCTTCTTCTTCTTCTTCTTCTTCTTCTTCTTCTTCTTCTTCTTCTTCTTTTGCACACACCAACTGGCGACCCCCCCCGCATGTGTGCATGCAGGCCGGCGCGGTTCTGGTAAATCTTAATCCCTCGCTTAAGGCAGCAGGTGCGCCGCACTGCCTTGCCGTGCTTCAGCGCCCTGCCATTGGCTGCTGGCTGCTGGTCGCGCAGCACAACGTGGGGGTGCACTTGAAGTTGCAGACGTGGCGTCAGCATCAGCCGGTGCCTGCCCCTCTTTCGGCCTGCGCCAACCTGCAAGCAGAGCTGGCCTATGCGCTCAACAAAGTGGGCGTCTCCACGCTCGTCATGGCGCCCGAACTGAGGGGCACGTCATTTGTGGACCTGGTAGAGAGCATCAGGTGGGGGGTGGCATCCCGCTGGAAGCCCTTTGCTCTACATAGATCAATGTTTCAATTCCACGCGAAACACACGCTCTTCCAGGGACCAGACGCCACAGCTGCGCAACAAAGTAGTGCTGGGCCCCAATGCGCCAGAGGGTTCGCTGACCTGGTACGATTTGAGGTGGGCGGGTGAGGGTGGGCGGCTGCAGAGTGAGCTGCAGCAGCGGCAGCGGGACTGTCGCCCAGGGGAGCCCGCAAACATCCAGTTCACGTCGGGTGAGTGCTAGGAGCATCACGGCTTGTTCCCAGAGCCATGGTTTATTCGTTGATGCAGAGCCATGGTTTATTCGCCAGCGCCTGAGGACGGCACTCCAATGAAGCTTCGTGCTACCAACTGCACCTGCCTGCCGCAGGCACCACGGGTTTTCCAAAGGCTGCGACACTGTCGCATAGAAATATAGTGAATAACGCGTTCCAGGTGGGGGAGACGCTGCAATACTCGGCATCCGACAGGTGAAGGGCGGCAGGGTGGAAGCCAAACAAGCCCTGCTGCCAGATTCTAGGCAGTGTGGCAAGCACATGCGCCCTCCAGTGCTCGCCTCATGCTTTGGCACTTCTTGCCCGCCTGCTCCCTGTATCCAGGGTGTGCCTGCCAGTCCCGCTCTTTCACTGCTTTGGATCGGTGATGGGCAACGTTGCGTGCGCTGCTCATGCCGCGACTGCCGTCTATCCATCGGGTTTGATTTTTAGTCAGGCAGCCCCTGCGTTGCCCACTAGTCGTACATGCTGAGCACCCTAAATCGGGAACGCCTAATAGAATCGCCAAGGCTTCGGCACAGGCCTCCCCGGGACCCATTCACTACTAGTGGGGGGTACTGCACTTGGCGCGTCGGGCAGATCAAATAATGGTCTAAAGCTAGACGTTAAAACCGGGAAGTGAAGCTTGTGGAGGCTCTTCCCCACCTTTACCTTTACCTTTGAGGGCCAGAGCCCGCCGTGCCCACTCCCTGCCTCCTCCTTTCAGACTGCTTTGATGCGGGGGCCACGTTGGCAGCTGTGGAGCAAGAGCGCTGCACATCGCTGTATGGCGTGCCCACGATGTTCATTGCGCAGCTGGAGCACCCCGAGTGAGTGGGATGGGAGTTGAAGAGTTGAGCATGTGTAGGTAGAGGGAGGCTTACATCTTGGTTCTCATGGCATGCCCAGATTTCAGCGGCGCGACCTAACCAGCCTGCGTACCGGCATAATGGCGGGAGCTCCCTGCCCAGCGGCCCTCATGCAGAAAGTGCAAGCAGGTCGGTGCCGTGTGCTCCTGTTGCAGCGGTCGTTGGCGAAAGGGAGGACCTGGCATACAATCTCATTCCTCAAGCCACAGAACGTTTGCGTGCCCGGTACCTGGCTGCTGCTGCAGAGATGCATATGCGGCAAATAACGGTTTGCTATGGCCAGACAGAGACAAGCCCTGTTTCCTTCCAGACGTCGCCAGAGGGTAGGCAAGCGCCAGCTGCTTGCGACTTTTGACAAGATAAGAACCTCGCCATGAGATCCTTCTCTCCTTGACGCGCTTGTTGCCGAGGCTGCCATCACTGCCGCAGACCCTGTGGACAGACAAGCAACCACGGTGGGAAGAATCCACCCGCACCTAGAGGCCAAGGTGGTGGACCCTGCCACGAATCTGACGTTGCCGCGCGGGCAGGTGCGGACAGATGCGGCCGAAGTTGACTGATAAGTTGGGAGTGCAGGCAGGCTGTGGGACAGCAGCAGCATGGAAGTTGATGCCTTTACTTGCACTGTTGGTTTTTTTTGGCGGCGTAGTAGCAGCAGCGTATGTGTGGAATGCTGTGCAGGTTGGAGAGCTCTGTGTCCGTGGCTACTCAGTGATGCTGGGGTACTGGGCCGATGCGCCGGCGACTGCTCGCAGCTTTGATGCGGTGCGCAGGCGCCATTTTGCTGGCGCCGCTGCTGTGGCTCTAGTCCAATATTGCTGAGCTGTAGGGGTACTGTCCTTGTCGGCAGCACCGCCGCGGCGAGTAGAGTCACCCCCCCCACCCCACCTGCAGCAGCTGGGCAGCAATGATTAGAACACATTCCCGCTCCTGGCCTCACGCCCATCTTGTTGCACCCTTCTCTGGCAGGACCGTTTCATGCACACGGGCGATCTGGCTATCCTTGATGACAAGGGCTACTGCTCCATTGTCGGGCGAATCAAGGACATGGTGATCCGCGGAGGGGAGAACTTGTATCCTCGGTGAGAGAGTGTTAGTTTAGTAATTTGTTTTCACCCCAACCGGGTTGCAAGCGCAACCTCCGTGCTCCTGCTCCTCCGTGCTCCTGCTCGCAGAGAGATCGAGGAGTTCCTGCACCACCACCCCGCCATTGCAGACGTGCAGGTGTGCAGGCCTGGCTGGCGGTCTGCAAGTCGCTGCCTGCCGGCGAGGCTCCTCGTCTTCTCAACACAAGGCCGAGCTCTGTCTGTGCCTGTTGCACCACGCAGGTGTTTGGCGTGCCTGATGTAAAGCATGGAGAGGAGTTGTGTGCTTGGGTCAGGCTCAGGTATCTTTCTTGGAATCTCGTGCACAGATGATTTACTTGGGCCGATGTGGTTGCGCCGGCACTCCAACCACAGCGCTGGCCTGTTGGTGCAGGGAGGGGCAGCGCCATATCGGCGGCGAAGAGCTGCGAGCCTTCTGCAAGGGACGAATTAGCCACCAAAAGATTCCCCGGTATTGGAAGATGGTAGAAAGTTATCCCACAACGATGAGCGGGAAGCCACAGAAGTATCTTATGCGAGAGGCAGCGATGCAGGAGCTGGGGTTGCAAGCCGTCGCACTGCAGCTTGTGCAGACAGCCTGACCACAGCAGCCCTCCAATGTGCTGTTGGAGTACATCTGCATCACGTCAGCGCATGTTGTGTTACAGCCAGTTCCCAATGAATCCCTCAGCTGAACATGTATACTCCCCTAAACAAGTTTATAAAGCACATGTTTCAAGTATCAAGTTCGCACCGCTTGAAGGCACCACAAGCCTGCCATCTATGCATTGTCTTTATATGGCTGGCGAGTTGAAGGTGTTGGGTCCAAAGCTGACCTTTCGCGGCGAGCGGTTCTGCCACAGGGTTGGGTCGTCGGTGTCATCCAGGTTGGTCGTGTCGTGCTTGCGGTGCATGCGCTCGTGATACGCCTTGTACTTGCCCATCTTGTCGTGGCCGCCAGCAGCGCCAGCAGGGATCAGCGCAGCCTCGCCCTCCTTGCTGTGCCGGGAGCTCACTACGATGCTCAGCCCGCCACCCTCCTTGCCCGCTGCAGACAGAGGGGGTCTGGCTGACGAGCGGCATATGGCGAGCAGGATGCTGGGCAAATGCGTGTTTGCAGGAGTACCCCAACCACGGTCAACCCACCTGGCACGGGCGCCACCTTGGCAGACTTGCGGAACAGCCCAAGGAGGCCGCCTCAACGCTGCCGTTGGCAGCCTGACGTGCAGCCTGCGCCTCCTTCCACGCCACCGCCTCCTGCTGCTTGCGGATCTTGGCGGCCTGCTTGTCCTCCTTGTCGTGGTCCAGGCTGGAAGCCTCTGCCACGAGCTCTTCCACTGCAGGCCGGCCGGCCGGGAAAGGCACGGAGAAGGCAGTCGGGTAGTGCGCGACCAGGGGCATAACCAATTCGGTGCCCAATGCCAGGGCCCCACCAGCCTGCCACACACCTGCCATTTCCGCTGGCAGCTGGGACAGCAGCTCTGCTATGCGGCGACTCTCAGACTTGGCAAACCTCATGTACGGGCGGAGCTGGTACCACCAGAAGAATACCGAGATGAACAAGAGCGCAAGAATTGCCAGGATCTGGAAAACGGAGACAGTCAGCATGCGCTTCTTGCCATCCTGCGTAAAGTCTTTGGTGTTTTGCAGCAGCGCATCCTGCAGACAAAAGTGGCACACGTTGCAAGGTGGCCAGAGGTGCAGAACAAAGACAGCAGCGAGCGACAGAGCTTCGGGGTCAAAGGGCCGGGCAGGAGCAGAGTACGGGCACGGCTACCGCCCCATATCGGTGGCAGCAGCTGTGGCGCACGTCGAGGTCGCCACCCTCCTGGCCAACGGTCCACCTGCATCCGCAGCAAGAACAAGGAAAACGTGAGTGGGGTTTGGTTTTGAGGCAAAAGCGAGACAAAAGCGGCTGGCTCAGCTAACAGCAGCCGAAGCGACGTATCTCGCCAGCCTATACCCACATGAATTGCCAGGTTGGCGCATCCAGGTTCTGCGCCACGAAATTGTCTCGCGCAAGAGATACTGCGGAGTCAAGAAAGGCGTTGATCAGGCGGTTGAGGCCGTAGCTTGTCTCCTGCAGTGGCATGTGCAGATCAGCTTGTTGCGCAGCACGCCGGGAATGCACAACCTGCAGGCCCACCATTTTGCTACTGCTGGTCAATCCCACCCTCTGACTCTGCTCCCCTGCAGCGCACCTCAAAATAACCCTCCCCTTCCGCGTAACAAGTCGTCTTATCACGCCGTAGGCACCCTTGGCCGAACCAGAGCGACTCATGCTCGTTGCCCTGCAGGGCATAGACAGGCGCCTCGTCGCTGACCAGGCAGCAGTAGCTACCGCACAGAATCTGCATGGCCGCTAATGCAGTGGATGTGCAGGCTGCAACACAAGTGAGGGGCCCTACCACCAGGATGGAACCGGAGAGTCCCAGGTCCTCATTGCCATACAGCAAGGCCTCCTTCAACAGGGAGGGAAGCATACCTTACAGTCAGAACGTGAATTTCACTCATAAAAGCTGACTGCATGCCACTGCGCCGGCGTACCTTGTATTCGCTCATCTCAGCCACTTCAGACAAGACCCTGCACTATGAGCGATTGATGTGTTGGGAGCCGCAATTAGTCAGCAGGAGCATGCAGCAGACACAGGCCAGCCGTGAAGGTAGGATTCGTTTGGCAATGTCCTGGCCTATCTGAGCCATGGCAAAAGCACCCACGCTATTGCTGCCTGCTGAGCAGTTGCAGAATCCGGCGCGACCGCCAGCTTCATGGAGGAGTACACCAGGCGGGCGGACAGGAAGTGCAGGCGCTGTGCAGCCATGAGATCCGTGACCTAGAACAACAAGGCATGGCAAGTGTGGGCAGCTTCCTGCAAAGGTATTGCTTGAACTGCTGCTGCTGGCCTGTCAATAATCCCTCTTTCCTGCGTCCATAGCTTACCGGCTTAATGGAGCCACGCAGCAGCAGTATTGAAAATCCATAGGTGAGCAGAATGATGCAGGCCCACAAAATGAAGGGGACAAGCATAAAGTATGCGTCTATGCTATGATTGCTCTGTGGACATGACGGGATGGTAGAAATGGGTAAAGCAGCGCTGAAAAAACTCAGGGCTGGCCAACTTCAACTGCGACAGCTAGTGAACTCACCAGCTTTCGGCGCGTGCCGCTGTTAAACTTGTAGCCCAACACTCCCTTTTTGTCCGAACCCGCTTCCTCGCCCTGCTGGTGCTGTGCCTGTGCCTGCGGCAGCACAGAGGTCGTCAGCGAAGGTGGTACACCCATTGCAGAAGCTCTGCTATGCTCCGCTGACGCAGCTTGCAGCTCCAGCCCCACCTGGCGCAGCCATGTGTCGTCAGCATCCCCATCATCAGACCCGTCGTTTTCATCCTCAATGCGCAGCTTGATCTCCTTCGACGCGAGCTGCAGCACCACTGGCCGTGGCAGCATAAACACAGTGGGGAGCGCAGCAGATGGAGGGGCGCTGACCGCTGAAGTACTGACAACCAACCAACCAGCAAGCGACCTTTGTCGCGGCAGAACCCAAAATCTGCGCACCACAAAGACGTTGAAGGTGCGGAGCCGTGTGCGGTTGACCAGATTCAGGAGGATGTAGAGCGCCAGGCAGCAGAGCGGCACAAACAAGCCTGCTTCGATGCCCACGAAGACGGCCATCACCTGGAGGCAAGGAGCAACGCTCATCTGTCCAGCCTGGCTGGAACCACTCTGCAGCCACCCGCTGCAGCCGCGCACCTTTGTCTGCTTCTGCAGGCCAATACGCGCCTTGTCCTCCGAAACTAGCAAATTTCTTAACAGTCCCTCGCTCAAAACTTGCTGATTGGTTCGCAGATAGAGGTACTCAGAATAATTGACCAGCTGGCCTGCCCACTCAGGGGCGGGGATAGCCATGAGTCTTGCGGCTGTTGTGAAGCGTCGGGATAGGTCGAAAAGGGACATGTTGTGGTGCCTGAGGGAATGACAGAGAGCTCAGCAGCCGAGTCAAGTGCACACACAGCCTTGACCTCCCGCCGGCCCTCCTGCGCTCACTCAGTGAAGGGGGAGGTTATCTGGATCAGTTGTTGCACTGGGTATATGCGAGAAATGAACATCGTGCGGCGCGCAGGAACCACCGGCTCCACCTGCATACCAGCAGCAGGAGGGCCATGGTGGCGTCAAGCCGCCGCGAATGTGCCTGCCTGCCCATCTATTGCCTCTACCCACCTGCTTCTTGTCGCTGGTGCCCATAAACACCCATTTTATGCGGGAATCTACCAAATCGGCCTTTTAAAGCACAAAAGAGGTGAACTGCTCTGCCAGGGCGGCCGCCGAGGTGGAATCTGCAGGCCGCTCAAGGTTATAAGCGTCAGCTCGACAGCAATGTTGCATATACATCTGCTATCCGCCTCAGCAACTCACTGCGCGAGTAGTAGGAGTAGGGGTTGGAACTGTCCTGCGCACTCATGCGGATTCGAGAGCTGTACAACAGCTTCTGGCTCATAGTTGCTGCTTCACCGCTGTTGATGGTGTTTGCAAGGTACCTGAAAAATGAGATGGTACATGCTAAAAAATGAGCTCCCATGACTCTGCGCAAACGCCTAGTGTTTTGGCCCCAATAGATAGCACAGCTCACCCGTTATAGCTCTGCACTTGGCTGTAGGTGACGGAGAACAGCACAACGTGCAGCACAATCATGGACATCAGCATGAGGTAGCTGTACCTGCAAAACAACAGGTGAGGCAGTTTGCAGAAATATAGGCAGCAGACAATGCATGCTGCTTGCCCCACTTACTGGTGGAGGAAGTCAATAACTTGGCGTGCTTGCGGGCCTGCAACGGCAGCAGAGGACAGGGTTCACCAGCTGTCAAGCAGAAGTGCGAGTTTTGCCAGATGGACTGCTCGTGGGCGTCTTGCCTGTTCTGCCCAAAGCCGCAGCAAGCAACTACCAAACTCACTGTTTAGCATTTTGTTGATACGCTTAAACCGTTTTGCACGTGTGAAATCGCTGGAGCCGGTGCCCTGCAATCAAGTGGCGGGGCGCTCGTTACCAGTCAGAAAACTCGCTCCCTCCTGCACCTTGGCCACAGGGCTGGAACAACAGACATAGATACCCCCAACAGCCCACCTCTGCGCTGTCCGCCGCCGACGTGCCATCATTCACCGATTCTCCGAGGCCGAGGCCTCGCTGGTGGCCTTCTTCACAGCCTTGACGCCAGTCACAGCCTGGATCCTGTTGGGGAAAGTGTCAAGTGTCACAGCAGGCGTTAGGGGTGTAACGTGCTGCAGTAAATGCCATGCCCCGTGTCTGTGCTGCTGGTTCTTTCAAAGGCAGGCCACACTCACTGCATGTCGTCGTCGGCTGGCCCCTCGGACTGGTCACTCTCAGTCCCTGAATGCATCTGTCCTAATTTTGCGTCAGCCAGCACCTCTGCCAGGGACGGGCGGGGTTGCTGAGGCTGCACCGGCTGCACAGTAATCCGTAGCATCCAACGGCTGCCGTCGCCGTGTTTGTTTCCGCCCTGCACCTGTACTACGAGCACGGAGCCGTCAGCATGCTGCGCCTCCATGGCGACTTTCTCCGACACGCTGGCATCGGCAGCTCGCTTCAGCTGGGAACGCTTGATACCTGCAGGCGGGTTGGCAGGGTTGGGTACATGATAAGTTGGCAGAGCCAGCTCACCACCTTATCGACAAGCAGCAGCTCACCAAGGAAGTCTTCACATCGCGCATTGTGTGGAAGGCGGAAGTCTGCGGCAAACCATCAAACCGTGGCAGGCATATGATGGGACAGGTCATAGCTTTAACACATCAATGCTGCCACTTACCCAGTGGCTTGAGCAGGGACAGGATGGGCTGCCCCTTCACTGCCTCGCGGCTGTATCCCAGCAGTATGCACGCCTCAGTATCGCAGCTCTTGACCTGCAGCAGTGGCACAGCACCCACGCAAACGCCACAATCCTAAAGAGGAAAGAGACGGTGAGAACGAGACATGGGCGATCTATGGAGGCTGCTGGCTGCCAGCATTCATGCACCAGCTTGCCTTGAGCGAGCTGTCAATTTCCAGTGTGGCATCCATGAGCTCCTCCCGCCACACCTCCACCACGTGCAGCCCGCCCTCTGCGAGCCAGGTTCCACGTCGCCTTGAGGTCGTTATGGGCGCCGAGGCAAACTGTTGAAAGTCGGGACTGGCAGTGCCACACCAGCACCCCCCCTCCCCCCCCCGCCTCCGCGCGTGCACAACTTGCCTGCAAGCACATCCGACTGGTTAAGGAAGCCCTCGTCCACCAGCTGCACACAGCAACATGCAGCATTTGGAGCTTGTGGCGCTGAGTAAAGTTGGCAGAGCAAGCAATGGAGCACAGATACACGGCATCAGCGTGGACATGCACTATGCAGACCAACAGGAGCAGGCACCAGGCCCTACCTCCTGCACGTCAACCTCGCTCTCTGACTTTGGGATCACCACCAATCTGCAGAAGCAGATCGGTAGGCAGGTAGGCAGGCAAGGCGAGGTGCTAGCCATCAAGACGGTTGCCAACTCTGAACCAGGAGGCTTGCCTGCTTGCAATGGTGCCTCCACTTCCCAGCGCCATACGTGAACGTAAACTCATTACGCAGGCATCTGGCAGGACCCCAACTCGGAAGGCGGCCTTGCTGCCGCTGGCTGCAGGGGCAGAGCAAGAGTGTGCAAAAGGGACATAGTGCGGAGCTTCCCTGCTGGCATGGCAACAAACCTTGCAGCAACCTCACACCATACCTGCCACCGCACTGCACCGTGCTGCCATGTGCTGGAGCAGCTGCAGCTCGCTGGGCCATTGGCCCTGCTGGTAATCTGCCGGCTTGCGCAGGTCGGGCAGCAGGTCGGACAGTTTCTGCAAAGAGACACACGCAGCTCGAAAGCCATAGCAAGTTCCCTACACTTGCATCATCAGCAGAGTGCAGCGGCAGAAGAGCAGGATCTTCCCCCGATATGAGAGAGACAGCTAGTATGTCCCACCAATTTCCGCACCTTTGTTACGAGGCCGGCCGCATCGAGCCCAAACACCTGCGCCAGCACCGCAGGGTCGGCCTTGAACGTAAGGATGCGGCCGTCCCCGCGCACCAGCAGTTGGAGGCGCTTGCCAGCGTGCATCAAGTCCTGCGGCAGGAGGAAGAGCAAAGCGGATCCCGTGAACAAAATCGGATTGCAAATGGTATCGGCTGCCAATGCCAGCGGAGCTCGTATGCGCACCCCCCGTTCCTCATCATGCCAGGAGGACTCACCTCCACATCACCGCCGCCCCAAGCATCTGCTGGAGGAATGGGCTGCTTGGTCACTGCAAACACAGTACTCGCCAAGTCAAAAGCAGCAGCATTTCACGCCAGTGCTCCTCCTCCACTTGCTGGCATGTGGCTCCGCCTCGACTTGCCTGTGGCAGTGAACACATGAGTTCTGCCCACCATGGCCGCCTCCACCATCAGCCGAACCGGCACCTGCTGATTGTTGCGTCCAGCAAAACAAACCACGCGGCCAGTGCGGCAACTGGTGGGCGCCTGCACAGCAACAGCAGCCGGCACATCCCCTTTGCCAGCAGCAGCTGTGCCCCCCTGGCTGTGATCGCAGGCAGAATTCACACAGCAGTAGATGCAGGCACAATAGGCAAGCTCACAATGGTGTTGGCATTGATGTTGCGGGCCGCGGTTTGCAGCCACTTGATCATCAGCAGAGGGCACTTGACCAGCGTGGCAAGTGTGCCACGCTTGCTGATCAGCGTGCCTGGAATACAGGCGGGGGCAATCATCAAACCGCGCAGCACAAGCCTGCATGGTTGCCCGTGGATACCATCTGTTTTACTGATGGGTGCCACTTACCTGGCTCATAGCCCAGTATAGCTTCAAAAGTGCTGTTGCAGTACACAATACCGCCAGTGTGGCTCACAGACACCAGCCCCAGGTGCTCCACCCGCTCGTCCAGAAGGAACTTGAGCATGCTGTGGCGGCCAGTGGCAAGCAACAGGGACTTGGGGGATGCCAAAGTAGAGTGTGGTTGTGGCACTACCAGGGGAGGGTCCGAGGACTTCCTGGCCTGACTAACAACCAAGAGCACCCAATTTCTTGCTTCCGCCTCAGCAACCACCTCCTGCCCCAAGCCAACCTCAAACTCACATGGTGCGCATGTTGAGCGTGCCAGCGTATGCTGCCTCGCCTGCCACCTCCATCGCTGCCCGTGCTTGTGCCGCACTCGCACCGTGCAGGCGTGCACCGTCTTGCCCACGTCCTCGGCGTTGTACTCCCACTGCACGGGGGGGGGGGGGGGGGGGGGGGGGGGGGGGGCAGGGCACAATGCAGCGGTTGCTGAAGCACAGATGCCCACAGAATCCGGAAAATTCCATCTGCAGCAGCAGCAGTGCAGCACTTACTTGTTTCAGCATGTCAACAACTGTTGATACTGTGGTGGCGACTCCGCCGTCAGCACCTATCGTGCCACACAGCTGACCCACCAGGTCGCTGGCAGTCCATCCAAACTGCAGCAGTCGTGGCGCAGCCAAATTGAGGTGCTGACGTGGTGCAGCCAATACACGGGCAGCTGGCATATGATGGCTTTCATTCGCAGCATTGATCACCGCCCAGCCGCGCTCACCACGTCAGAAAACCCCTTGCCCATTCCAACCACTTGGCCTGCGGAGCCCACCCACACGCAGGCCTCGTGCACTTCCTGTGCCAACGGCTTGAAGATCCCCATGTAGGCCTTGCTGTCCCCCTGCTTTACTTCCTTCAGTGACAGCGTGACATGGAAGCTGTGGCCCTGCATGAAGGGACGCATCTAGGTGATCCACCAGCTGCAGGTCAGGGGGTCGTGCTTCTGACAGCCCTGGTGTCAGAAGCAACTGGCTGCCTCCCTCAATGCCATGGCCACCCACCTCGTTGTGCACAGCCAAAACCTGCCGCGTTCTGTTCATTACAGTGCACTGTCCTGTCAGGAAGCAGCAGAGGGAGGAATGGCGATTAAGAGCAGAGTAGTTCTTGCTGCTGGTGGGCGTAGGGCGGCACCCTCACCTGTACGCTTGTGCTTTTGAATAAATCTGCGGCCAGGAAGATGCATGTTTGTGAGCAACTGCACATGGCAACCGGCACCTGCTCCAGGCACACAGCAAACTCAGCTGGTTGTGGTGCGCAGCTGCTGGTGGCCCCATCAGCATCGACACGTTCCTGCCCTGCATCTCACTGATACTCCATCCAAACCTGCCAAGAGCAAGAACATCCATGGTAGCAGCGTCGCTGTCAGCACACAATAAACCACCTGTAAACATTACCGAGACTTACATGTCTGCCGCAAGTTTGTTTGAAAAGATAATGATCCCGTTTTCATTGGTCACAACAATGGCCTCTGCCGAATCGTCCACCATCTGGTTGAGCGAGCGGTTGTCCTGGGCGCCTTGGCCACTGCACAGGGCGTAGAAGGGCAAGTTGGCGGTATGCATGCTATTGTGGCCCAGTGGCCTGGGTGCGGTTGGCAGCACAAAACAGCGCGGGCCTGCTTCACCGCTGCTAACGCAATAAACATGAAGGCAAGACTCGCCTCTCCCCGGTGTCTGCTGCTGTCTCGATAGACTCCGCCTCCAAACATTCCGCCTCTGCAAAGTAGCGTTGTGCCGCCCACGGATTGGACCGCACATCCTGCAGCCAGCATGCGGGTGCAGGGTGTCGACAGCAACCTGGTACATGGCATTGCAGGACAATCCATGGCATCTCCACGCTCGTCCCCATGCACACCTCCAAAAAGCGGCCATACGCACGCATGAGCTTGCTTGAAGAGGGGTACTTGTCCAGCACCTGGTGCACAACTGAGAAAGGGATTCGTCAGACACAGAAGCGCACCCGGTCAGGGGCAGGAAGTGGCGGCCATTCCCAGCTTCCCTGCACACCGCCACGCACCGCCCTGTATGTCAGCTCAGCCCGCTTTTCGGCGACATCCATAGCGAGGAAGGCGCGAGTGAGGTCTGCAGGGAGATAGGCGGCAGCAGCTTATAGGTGTTCCAGCCTCGAAAGGCGGGCTGGACGCAGAGAACAAAGCTCACCGGCAAACTTGACGTCGCGTCTGCACAATTGCCGCCAGAAGTTGCGAATGGCCTTGAGTGCACCAGTATGTGAGTCCAGGATCGCTCGGTAGCTATTCTGATGGCATGTGACGGCAGGGGGCATGGCCGCAGCTGTCACCATCCACCGCTTTTCCTGTCGAACAGGCCAACAACTCCCCCTCCCAGCACGGCAGCAGCCACAACCATCTGCAAACTCACCTGGAACTCGACATACGACAGCAGGTCGTAGGAGTCATCGCAGCCGCCTGCCCCCTGCCGCTGCTTCTGCTCGCGATCACGTACAAACAGCATGAAGCACTCGCCCAGGCCAGGATCCATCTTGCGAGCCAGTTCCATCACACCCATGGCATGCTGTGCGTCAGGCAAGATGGCGGGTGCGGTCAGCTGGGGACAAGACGAGCAAGTCCACTGCCAGTGAAGGACAGCTGACTGCACTTGGCAGTATATGCACATGGGGAACGCATATATGTGCAACTGTGCCTGACGCAACATCAAACACCCACCTGATGCTGCTTGCGTGCCTCGATTAGGAAGGAGGAGTAGAGGATATGGAGGAAGGCGCTGTCCGGGAACTGCGGGGCAGGGAGGTCCATTCGAGGGTCTCACGGAGAAAAATAATGAAGGGAGGAGGGGTTGCAGCAAAATGCTGTTTTCCAGACAGACCCCTTCATGCCCCTGCCCTTGCCCACCTGCTCAAGCCCTGCCTTGATGATTGCCTCTGCCGTGTCAATCCACTCGGGGATTTGGCTGCCCCAGTGGTCTGTGATGCGGCCGCAGCGCGCTACCACCTGCGCATTGGCACAGCAGGCATTGGGGGTGGGCATCCTGTAAGTGGGTCAAGCATTCAAGACCTGAAGCATGCCACTACAGAGGCAGCACCCAGGTGCTGGCTTTACTTGCCTCGACCTCGAGCTCGTCAAAAAAACGGTGGACGACAGGCTGTTTGGTGGCCAGTGAGGCCCGGTACCGCAGTGCCACATGGTGCACCCAGCGCAGTCGGTAGTAGACCAGGGACCACGCCACAACGACGGTGGGCAGCACGCCTGCGCCAGCAGCGAGTGGTACGTGCAGAGTGGAGGCGCAGCATGCAGTTGATGTTGCTATGGCTTCGGCAGCATTCCAAGCTCACCGGCCCACAAGAGGATCGTGAAAATTTGAACAGTCTGCTTGGGATACAGATAGGCATTCAGAACAATCACCAGGGAAGCCCAGCTCAGGGAAGCAAAAAAACTGGCCTGCAGGGCGTTCACCCAGGCTGTCCGGAACGGCACGTAGCGGATGTCTGCAATCGAGGCAGGCAGCTTTTGTGGGGGGGGCAGCACTCGAGCAGCAGAGCAGTCAAAGCAAGCGCAGCAAGCCCTCTCACAGTTGTAGCAGAGATAGAACGTGATAATCAGGCAAATGGTGCCTTGGAGCTTTGTATAACCTGCGAACCACAGCGCTCGTTCAGGAGGGCGGTGCAAGCCTGATTGAGCGCCTGCGCTGTCACTCACTTGGGAAGATTTCATTCAGCAGGGTTATTGTGGAGATCAGGGCAAACCGCTTTACAGCCGACCTGCACAGGGCAGCTCGTCCTCGGGGAAGTGCTCTGATTTCGTCGACTTTGCTCCAGCACCACCCCCGCCAGCCCACCTGTGGTGCGCTTGGCCTGCCACCTCCTGCTTGAGCGGGTTGAGCTCGCTGTTGGCCACAGCCAAGGCAAATGCCATTGCCATTGCCGACATGGAGGTAGCAATGGACACCACCACGGCGGCCAAGTGTGGCATGGCGAAGAACTGGACGTCAGGGAATTTCTGCATGATTAAAAATGATCAAAAATAATTTAAAAATGATCAAAAACCAGATACTGTATCAAACACCAGCCGATGCATAAGCTGGTGCTTGAAATGCTCCCACCTCGTTGTGCTTGGGCCCCGCTCGGTAGTAGGTGCAGTCCAGCGCCACGCAAAAAATGCCGAGTGAGGAGACGTAGAACAGTTCAAAGAAGAAGGACACGAATACCTTGAGGAGCTTGATGGGCCACAGCTGCGGCATGGAGGTACGCATGTAAGCTCTGCGACCCAACTCCGCCGCCACCAACCCCTTGGCTCTCTCACCCATGGGAAGCTTCCAGTCTTGAAGTTGTGGCCCACAAACACGCACAGCCCAAAGGATGCCACCAGGATGATGGTCAAACTGATAAACACAATCTGCAGGGCGGAGGGACCAGCCTCAGCGGCATTCCAGCTGAAAGTGCCTATTTTGTTTTTTTACTTTGCACCTGGTAGAAGACGTAGCTGCCATTACCAAGCCCGTACACAGGTGGGAACACCGCAGGCAAAGTCAGCATAAGATGTCAAAGGATAAGATGCCAGCGCAAAATGGGGCTTGAAAGCCGCAACCTCTCGGTCCCACTCGGCCTGTCGCGGGCAGCGCAACTCCGGCTCACTGTTGGTAAAGCAGATCCAGCTGAGCCATTTCCAAAACCACGCTTAAAAACTCAGGGCCCAAGGGAAGCTGCAGAGGCAGGATGGCCAGTGTGAGAAGGAAGATAGCATTTTCTGTTATGATTTCGCTCAAACCGCACTTGGTGCCTATGAAGAATACTGCAAGCTGCAAGTAGTCAATTACCTGCAGTGCAATTGTGCATAAAAAGTTGTTTTTTTGTGCGCAAAGATTTATTATACATATATATATATAATAAACTTTTCGAAATAAAACAAAATGCAACCACTAACCATTGTTATCGTTACATACTTCCATCCTTCGCTATACATTTCTTTAGACAAAGTGAATAGCACGCCGAACACAGCGTCCTGCAGCAGCAACAAGACGGAATGTTCAGGGCGACGGCGGCTTGCGCTGCCAGCGCGTCCCCACCGCCTTACAGCCCCCGCCGCCTGTTTCCAGAAAAAGGTCGGCTCAGGAGCTAGCGACATTTTAGCTTCTGGCACTGTTGCCTAGCTGGCCGGCTACTGTTACAGGCCTGGGGTTTAGGGTTACAGGCCTGCGCTACTCGGGCGCCGCCGCGGTGATGCGGCGCGCTGCTTGTGTGTGCGGCCTGGCCTCGCCCTTTGCCAGCCCCATAGCCACATTTCGCCAGGATACTTCACCAGAAGCAATCACTGACACTGGTCATCACCAGGTTTTAGATTGGCGTCGGCCCCACGCCTTCCGCCCCTCCGCCGGCGCCTACCTGCAGGGAGCTCCGCAGCGAGTTGCCCTGCAGCTCCGTGGCCGCAACGTCGGGCGTGCCGTCGCCGCTGGCCGAGCCGCTGGCCGAGCCGCTGGCCGACGCAGGCCGAGAGCCCCCGCTCCCTGCTGCAGCCGGACAGGGTTCATAAGGGAAAGGACCGTCAATCGCCCTTTACGGGGGTGGGGTGCACTTCAAACAGCCCACTTGGTGGCTGACCGGCAAAACACACCCGAGAAGCTGGTGGCCGTGCTGTCGCTGCCCGCGCTGCTGGTTCTCTGCAGCTGGGGCATTGCCACGCCTCCGTCAGCGCCAAAAAAACTCGGCTGTCCTCTCCATGCGAACTCAGATTGTTGCGCTCCCCTCTCTCTCTTGGACGCTTGTGCAACACGGCAATAGGCAGGGCAAAACAGCGCACAATGGATGAGAGGGCGTGGCTATCATGCAGCCAGCTGGCGAACTCGCGTTGAATTTTGCCGCCGATTTCTGCAACCCATGCACTTTCTGCCAGCTGCTCACCCCTCTCACCCCTCCCGGGCCCGGTTCTCTGTAATCTCAGTCAGTCACCCTTCTCTCCCCCGCTCACCCTGGCAACAGTAACATGCCTGTGACTAGGCATGTTACACAATCGACCTACAGGAGCGATACTTGCTGCTGCTGCTGCCTGCCCTGACGGCTGCCTGTCAAAATTCGGTCCAGCACGGAGCCCTCCAGGAGCAGGGGTTCCCTGCACCGCTCCATTGCCACTGCCATCAGTTCGTCCAGCAGCTGCATCACTGCGGGGCCATTGGCGCTGCCCGACACCATGCGCTGGAGCTGCATGCAGGAGAGAAGGGAGCCAGCATGGCAGGATGCAGCCAGGAGAGCGGCGCGACGCCGCGCGCCAAAGACAGAAGCCTGGCAGATGCTGCAACCCTCGACAACAACCAAAGCCAGGCGATCAACAGCAGCTCACCTCGGGCCGCATGTAGTGCACATCCAGCTGCACCTGCTGGAAGGCAGCGCGACCCAGTGTCTGGCGCCGCAGCGTGTCCACAAGAGCGCGCAGCGCCAGCGCCAGCAGCGCCGCGGAGATGCTGGGCTGTGTTAGCTCCAGCCCGCCCACATAGCCACCCCTGCGTGGAAAACATGCGCCGCACATGTGGTCAGCACCACGTCAACATCACACTGTGCTCTCCAGCTGCACTCAAGGTGCCAGCCATCATGTAAGCAGTCGTTGCACCGGCCATCGCCACCCTCTCACCTGTCCCGCCCTGCGTTCAGCATATGTGACACCGAGGCTTCCATGTACACCCCTTGCATGTCCAGTCCGCCCACGCGACTGCTGGTGCGCGAATGCGACATGGCGGCGCTGTCCCAGGAGGCAGCACTGCTGGCGCTGGCGGCACGCGAGTGTGTGCGCGAGAGCCGGGCGCCAGGTGCGCTGCTGGTGGAGCCAGAGATACCGCCGTCCACCAGGTAGGACACCTCCACACCCACCTCTGCAATGAGCAGGAAATGAGACGCAGGTAGGGGACGGGGTCAACCAGCAAGCAGTTCAGCATAAAGCAACCAGCAAAAAGCACGCTGCTCAGATGAAAATCCAGCACCCCATCTGCTTTGGCCCTTTGTCATCAAGTCCGCTGCCGACCGCACCCACCTGCCACCTTGTCCAATATGGCATTGCATACTGGGCGTGCAGCACGGGGCTCCTTATGGTTCACCCAGTCCATGGCCTGTGTGCTGCTCTCTACCGCCGCCACCAGCGCAACGCCATGCGCCTGAGTATAGCCCTGCAGCAGAGCAGCTGCCGCCGCTGCCAGCTGGCGGCCCAGCTCGGAGGGAAGGAAGGCAGGCAGCTCGTCGCCACCTGACAGCAGGCGCTCGGGGTACAGCTGCTGCAGCAGCACTAGCGCCGAACCCACAGCCTGCTGCTCTGCACAGCTGCACAGCTTGCACAGCAGCAGCAGCAGTGCTGGGGGCGGCGGTGCGGACACTGTGCCATCACGGCTGCAGGCGTCTGTGCTGGCTTCTTCACCACTAGCAGCCATGCTGCTGCTCCCATTCGGGGACGGCAATGTGCCGCGGCGCTGCACTGCCGCAAAGGGCGCTGCCGACTCCACGGTGCTGCGCACGCTGCTAACCCCCGCGGAGTTCAGGCTGCCGGGTGCCGCCACCTGGGCCTCCATGAGCAGCTGCTGGCACATGCTGAGGAAGAGGTTGGACACCTGGCCGTGCACCGAATTCACAAACACCTCGCCCCACCCAGCCAGCACCCACTTCTGCCGCTCATACTCCTTCAGGCTGCAGGCATGGGCACGGCGCCAGGTAGGATGGGGCAGGGGAAGCTCAGGATAGGCAAACAAGAAGCCTGCCAGCTCACCTGCGCAGAAGTCGCTCCAGTCCCTGCACCATCATTGCCTGCAACACTGCCAGCCCTTGCAACAGCAGACCCTGCTTGGCCTCCCCATTCCGCGCTGCCGCCGGCTCTGCCAGTGCACCGCGTAGCGCATCGGCAGTACCAAGGAGGCGGCGCTCCAGGGCCGCAAAACAGAGCGAGACATGCTGCCGCACGGTGTGCTCCACCAGCTCGCTCCCGCGGTCGCGCGGAGACAGCTCAGGCAGCAGGCTGTCCAGGCGCACGAGGTCGGTCTTCACCACATACAGCCCCTCCAGCAGGCCCGCGGCACCCCAGTCTGTATGCAATGCGGTGAATAAGTTGGCTGGGAGGGCATCAAGCAGAACTCGCCCCAGGCCACTGTAAAGCAACGCCTGAGCTGCGGCACCCCGAGCCGTGCTCACCTGCAGCGATGGTGTCCTCTCCTCCTATGGCCCCGGCAGCCGCATATCCCGCATCCACCGATGCCGCCTGCACTGCCCTTGCCAGCAAGTCACCCAGCAGCTGTATTGGCTGTCCCGCAGCGGTGATGCCGGCAGCGGTGGTGGCTGCGATTGCCGATGCATCGGACAGCGCACGGCGTGTGAGCTTCAGATATCGTGCAAAGCACTCGCGGCACATCTGCAAATGACAACAGACAATGGGGGCGGTCAGGGGCATGCAGGAACAGCGGCAGTAGGCTGGCATGAAGTTGGCTGCTAAACTAATGGCGCGACACTCCCACGCTCGTCCCCTGATGACAATCTCTGCCATCAACTGGTGAGCTGCATGCGGCGAGAAGCAGTTCACCTTGACTAAACGCTTGCGTCCACCTGGCGGAAACAGCTCTGCAAACAGTGCTGCGGTGTGGGTGATCTCGGTGATGAACTTGCTGTCCAGCTGCACCACCACGGCATGCAGGCTGGGTAGCGGGCCATTGCTACGAGGGGGTGCTGATGATGCGGGTGCGCCGCTGTCCATGGTGGCCCCCTCTTGTGGCGGAGCCGCAGCTGGAAACATGGCATGCATGCGCTGGCGCAGGCCCTCGTCCACAACACCCAGCTCTGCAGCCAAGCGGCCGTATAGCAATAGCGTTAAGCACTTTTCCAGCCAATGCAGCACTGTCAACAGGACCGACCCCAGGCAGCAGCTCAAACCTGTGGGGTTCAAAAGGCCCTTGTCCACTGCCAGCATCTTCAGCATCAGCCCGGCCGCTGCCAGTAACCCTTCAAGCCGCTGCCGCTTGCACTCCAGGAAGTCCTCCTGCAGCAAACGCATAAGTGCAGGTGGCAAGCAGGTAACTAGGCTGAATGGCAGGAGCAGCGGCGCCGACAACTCATGTGCTAGGCGAGCCCAAGAGAGATAAAGGTGAAAAGGGCTCTGCAAGCGGCAGTGCGTGCCTGCAGGCTTTCAGTGGGCTCCCCCAGCTTGGCAATCATTTGTATGCACTCCGCCGCCTGGTCGGGTGCCGCCAGCAGACGACGACGCAGGATGCCTGCCAATTCCCGCGCGCAAGCCTCCACCTCGCCTGCCACACGCTTGAAAGCTCCCTGTTGTGGAAGACACGGCAACCAACCACAAAGCTGAGCCAGATGCAGGTGTCTGTTGGGCAAAACCAGGCTCGGCAACAGTGCTGCCAGTTCGCCAGGTTTCCTTTCCCGCTCCCGAAAGACCGGCTGATCCATTGGCCATTACCTTGTGTCCATACTTCCTCAGCAATGGCGCGGCGTCAGCATAGGCATCAGCTGCCACCTCAAACGCCTGGCGCTCGATGGCGGCGCGCAGCTTGCGGGGCAGGTCAAACACGCCTTGCAGCTTGTGCAGCAAGATGCGGACCGCATTGAGCTCCTCAATCTCCCCCTGCCGGCGCTCCAGCTTACCATTGACTGAGTTGCTGGTGGTTACGACACCATCTGCACCAAAAGGGAAGTGTAGGATGACGGCAAAGATGGGCCACGGCATGCAGCAGCAGGTGCGTGTCAGTGCACGTGCTCTGAACCGTTGCTGTCCACCCTGCAGACAGCCAGGATCACGTACCTATGAGCGCCTTAAGCTGCGTCATGCGATCGTCCATGCCCTCCATGCTCGCGCTCATGAGCTTGATGGTGTCGGTGGCGGTGATGAACTTGTTGTAGTTTTCGTAGACCAGCATCTGTGGCACGGAGTGAGGTGGAAGGAAAGGAAAGTGAAAAAAACACCAAGGCTGCTCCATGCGCCCAAGGCCCCTCTCTCTTGCTGTGCTCTTCAGGTCAAGGCGGCGTGAGCTGTGGGACCTCTAGGGTCCCACTCGCGCAAAGCAGCGCCTGTGCAGTCACGGAAGCCCCTAGCAGGCGAGCAGGCACCAGCAGCTGCAGCAGCAGCGAGGGCAAGGACGACCGCGTGCGCTCCGCCATGACCACCGGCGCTTCTGCCTGGCCGGCTGCGACGACTGCATGCTGAGGAGCTGCCGCTGAGGGTGCGCAGTGGATCCAGAGGGGCGATGAGGATAAGGGCAAAACAACGGCAAGGGGGGCGCGCGCAAGAACAACAATCAAGGCAAATCAAGGCAAGACGAGATGAAGAACTGAAAGTTTGTTGTGTTGTTTTGCATATGATCCCAATTGGTTATTGGAACTGTGCATCCAAAATTCTGCTTGATACATTATGTAAAAGGCTGCTTTTTGCATGTGAAGCTCCCTTGTAAGGACGGCGTCAACGACTGCATCTTACTACTGCCAGCGGCTGCACGACCTCCCCTTCCCCCTCGCTTTCCAGCACGCCTGGGCCGGCCCCCTGGTGGCACGCCCTGCCTCAAGTTTCCCGCTGCCTACCTGCATGTCGCTGTCCAGGCCGCCCACCTCCGCTGCCATGTCACGCTGCTTGGCAGTCAGCTCTGCCAGGCGCGTCTCCTTCAGCATGCGCTTGAGGTAGGCATCAGGGTCAAAGTATGAGGCATTCAAGGCGGCCGAGTCGAGGTTGCCACTGGACGAGGCGCTGGCCAGCTGGGGACCCAGAGCACGTGCTGCCGGCGACGGCACCGGAGAGGGCCTGCGAGAGCGTGATGATGGTAGAGGACATGGGCAGAAGGAGGCCGGCATGTGCAAGAGCAAGCACCGAATGAGCGGCCGGGCAACAACATGCTTGCAGCCTCCACACCAAGCCCATGCAGGCTCCAACAGGACGCCCCATGCCCACCTGGGCGTGTCATGCAGTGACACAGCCTCTGCACCGTCATCCATGTCATAGTAGCTCGCTAGCAGGTGTTTGACCTTGGAGGCCTTGTCGGCGCTGCCGCCGCTGGGCGGCATGCTGCCAATCCCGCTGGTCCTGCTGCCAGCCCTGCTGCTGCTGCTGCTTATCGGGCTGTGCACCTCAGCAATTGCTCTGCACAATGAGGACAATGGTAAACACAGTGTTCTTATCGGCTGGTCGGCGGCGGCGCAGAGGCGGTGGCACAGAGGTGGGTGACTCGCTTCATGGGGTGTGTGCTCCGCCGCTGCAGCAAGTCCCTCCCACACAGGATTCCCGCCTGGCTCTGCCTGCCTGCAAAGCGTGCCTGGCTACGGGAGCCCCGAGGGCGCTTCGGCAGGCTGACCGAGAGGGCCGGCCTCCGCAACCGCCTACAAGGACGTGCCAAAGTGCACTGAGGGCCGAGGGGCTCTGCGGCCCCTTCGTTCAAACTCAAGTTGGGTGTCGGATGGCCAGCCCCCCCCCCCAAGGCGGATTACAGCGGCGTGTGCTTCTAGGAATGTGGCGAAGATGCGCTGGCTGGACTCCACTCAGCCTTGGCTGAGATGCATTGAAGCCATCGCGCTGTAATGACATGGCGCCCTACCGCCGGGTGCTGAGGTTGAAGCGTGTGACATGTGATCATGGGTCTTGATGACAGTGCTCCCGCCGCCGCTGCCGTTGCCGCCTCTAGTCACCCGGTGCTGCCGCGCATCACCATATTCCATTGAAATCTTGGCCGCCACCCGGCGCTCCTGCGGTACACAGTGCGGGTGGTAACGCTGCCCGCCGCAACTTCCACAGTGGACTGACACTCGAGCGTGTCTCTGCCCACAAGGCGATACTGCTCCTTGATGGTGCCCGCATTGGGAGCCGCCCACGTGATCTGCACATCAAGGCTGCCGCCGGGGGACGCTGCCGCGCAAGCTTGCTGGCTTCCGCGCCGCAAGTCGCGCCGTGCCATGGTGACCACCCCGCCTAAGGTGTACGTCTCGGTCACCTTGAAGAAGGGCACCACTGCAGGCGGGGCCAGGTATGCGCGGGCAGGTGCCAAAGGAAGCAAGGGAAGGCCTGGACATGCGCGCATCAAGGCTGCTGGCAGGGGTGGCACCACCCCTGCCTGAACACCACCTCAACCAGCCAGGCTGACTTGTAAGGAACTGCACCGCCACCCGCGAGCCACGCTGCTCAATCTCCACTCCTTCGATGAGCTGCATTGCAGTAGTCTTCTGAAGCCCGCTCAGTCCCATCAGGTCGCAGGCGCGGCCATAGCTGGCCGAGTCGCTTTCTTGATGATCCTTGATCCATACCCCAGCAAAGCCGCCGTTGCCAAGACTGCTGAAGGCGGCTTCACTGCGGCTGCTGGCCGCCACCGTAGCCATGCTCAACGCAGGCACAGTTGGGGACTGCGTGGCCAGAAATCTTGCCGCGCCGGCCCCACTGCTGCTGCTGCTGCTGCTGCTGTTGCCAGCGCGGTCAGCCCACCCTGCTCCAGCTGCACTGCTGCTCCAGCTGCTGGCCCCGCCTGGTGCGGCAACAGCAGCGATGGAGGTGGCAGCTGGTGCGGTCAAGCCTGGCCATGCGCCTGATCCTGGTAGCAGGCTGCCAAGGAATTGAAGAAGTGGTGCTGCGGCCCCAATGGCGAGAACCACTGCGGGTGGAACCTTGAACAGGTGCTGACTCGGCTCCACAATGCGGCAGATGCGGTCCGCCTGCACAAGGAGAGTGCAGGATGGTTACCGAGCAGAAGCTAAGCACGTGTTCCTCGTCAAACGCGGGGCAGCCAGACACATTGCGCATGATGATCCAGCGCCCACTGATATCATGCAGCATGCACAAGGCCATGCCGCTGCTGAGGGGTACCTTGTTTTCAGTGCCGGCCCGCAGGTGGAACACGACAGCAGCAGCGCAAACAGCGCCTACCGCTTCATCTACCAGTAGCTGCCAGCTGGGGAGCACGCGGGAGACAAGGGAGGAAAGGACCGCTGCCACAGCCTGCACAACAGCAACCGTGACATTGTATGAGTAGAGCTGTGGTACTCCTAGGAACTGATGAGGTCAGTGCAAGGTGTGCCCCCGGTGCAGGTCGCAGTTGCTAGTTGCCACCTGCTGTGTCACTGCCTGATCTGCCAAAGACCCGGGCAGCGCTGCACCCCCTCGAAACGGTGGAGGGGTAGCCGCAGTTCTGCTCTGCTCGATACCAGCCACAGCTCCACGCCGCAGGGACGGGCGGGCGGCGGTGGCGGAGTGTTGTACGGCGACGGCAACCGCCAGCCGCCAATGGCCGGCGCAGCGCAGCCTTTTGACCCGCTCTGATCGCCTCGCAATCTCACTCCACCAACAGCAGGCAGCATGAGGAGGTGCGGAGGTGCCAGTCAGGGTTGATTGGCGTGGACGCCGGGAAGCAGAAGCGCAGGGCACTCCTGAGGCCACCATGGAAGGAGAAGAAGAAGAGAATACCGCGGGACGCGTGATTTTTACTTCGGCAGTAGCAGAGACACGAGGGTTTCAATCATTCAAGCCCAGGGTCCCGCGTGTAAAACGAGGACATAGGTGCAGGTCACCAGCCTGGATGGATCAGCCGCCGTCTCTTGGCCGCCGCCTCTTGGCCGCCTGCGCCGCACGCCGCAGCTGCTGCCGCCGCCACTGCAGCTGTGGAGAGAGAACGGGGGGTCAATCTAGGGAAGGGTCCTCCCCAGCCTACACAGAGTTTTGAGGAAACCCTGTTCTTCCGTGTCCAGCTCCAGGTGGCTGCGGCTATGCAGCTGCTCAGCTGGAGTCGTCAGTGCTGAGCAGCGGGGGCCGGAGGTCAGCTGCTAAATAGTTACTCGCGTTCACAAACTGACATCCCGGTACGGCCCACTACAGTTGGTGGCAAACAGAGCGGCCATCCAGCAGCAGCAGGCAGTGCAGCCAATGTGCATGCTGCGACGCAACCCAGCTGGGACACAGCTGCGCGCTTGCTGCGCCACCAGCAGCTAATTTCATGCAGCCTCCTGCTTGCCATTCTCTGTGCGTGTTGCATGCCCACTAAGCTGTTGTGTTTGTTTCTGTGGCCACCCGCCATGTGTGCAACATGGGGCGGGTGGGACCGGCACAGCAGAAAAAAACACCGACACGATCTAGAAACGATGCCATCCCCGCACCTCCCAACAAGAATCAAGTGCAGCAGAATGTAACGCGCAGTTGTGCTGTTTTGGGGTTTTGGGGGAATGGAAAAGCAGCTGAGGAATGGATTGCAAAGGCGTGTCAGCGCTGCACCTCTTCCATGTGCGGAGTGAGAGCTGGCCCTTGCCCACCCGTGTGGCATGGCACGCTCAACCGCCGCTGCGGGTCGCCTGGCTGCTTCCCCCGGCTCCATTGATCGTGCGGCACAGGTGTGCATTTCGGAGGGTGCCTGCAGGGCAATGCAATCCTGACGAGCAAGCGTACCGGCCGACGTGCCCGCCGCCCCGCCTCCGCTCCGCCGCTAGCTTCCTAGCAACTGGCATGGCATGCCTGCGGGCAAACACTCGTGGGGGCTGAGTGTTTCTGGCCCTGCCGCTGCCACTTCCGTGCGGTGGACGCTACTGTGTACCCAACAGGAATTCCGTCCACTTTGCCTGGTGTCAGGGGCGTGATGCGCTGCAGCCCTGCTTTGATGAGCCTCTATCTCTTGCTCTCCCACAATGGCTCCTGACGCCGTGGGGCCACGCAGGTGCCAGCGATGCCAGCAGGTCATGACCTCCGGTAATCGTATTTTTGCGGCTCTCATTCCAAACTGCAGCCGTGGAGGTGTTGCACGTTGAGAGCGATACGGCCCCCCACTCGCCGCCTGCCCGTCCCCCGCTGCGTCCTTCCCAGCGGCTTTCGGTTCCCTGCCCGGCTCCCGCTTCCAAGCTCCCAGCACAATCTGGGCCTTTCTGCACCCTGGGAGGCGGCCTGGCTCCCTGCTGTACTGGCGCCTATTGCACCATCCCCCTGTGGCAGCGCTTGCAGCGGCTGGACGCCACCATGTTGGCATCCATAACGCCTGGGGGATCGGGTGGCCGCTCGGGCACCTCATCCCCGACCGAGGGGTCGCCCCACGAGTCACTGGCAGCCGCCGGCTCTTCATCGACTGGCGGGCACCTGCACTCGCTGGGCTCGGGCCTGAGCGCCTCTGGAGGGCATCCCAACGTGTTTGTGAGGTAGCGTACCGGCCTGCGCGCTCCCAGTTCGAGTGGCTGCCTGCTTCCCGCTCCGCCCGCCGCAGCTCCCCCCGTGCCTACTCCCCTGGCTCCCCTCGCCGCGCCGCCAGCCCGTCTGCCTGGCCGAGGGCCCACCAGCAACCCAGGTGGTGCCTGCAGGGGCTTGCCACTGCAATGGGGCGAGAACGAAATCACGGCGGTGTTTGGGCAGTTTGGCGTCCTGACCAGCCTTCGGCTTGTACGGCACTCGGTCACCAAGCATAGCCTCGGGTGAGTGCCGCTGCTGGAGGTATTCCTGAACCTGGACCCATGCAAGCTGCCGACAGGCCTGCATCCATCATGCCGCAAAGCCACCGGGCTGCCAGTGGGGTATGGTTGTACTGGCTGGCTAGGTGCCTTCACCGCCCCTCCTTTGCTGCCGCTACCACCGCTGCAGATATGGGTTTGTGCGATATGGCAGCGTGGGGGAGGCACAGGCAGCCATCAGCACCCTGGATGGCACGTCAGTGCTTGGCCACACGCTGCAAGTCAAGTTTGCAGATGCCGACGCAGGTGCGAGGGCAGTCGTGCCGCTGCCCAGGCATGGTTCTACGCCGCTGCCAACTGTTTCAGCAGCTCCCAGCGCCGGCCAACTATCGTTTGGCCGGCGGTGAAGTGCAGTCAATCTTGAGGTGCCTACTGCTGGCCTCACATACCCAGCAGCCAGCAGGGCACTTGAACCCTCCCCTGGCCTGCGCATGCTTGATTTTGACAGTACGCAGCACCGCAACTCAAGGGGGGGCCAATAGCGGCTGGGCCACGAGTGCACTGAGTGCACTCCACTGGTCGTTGTGGTGGGCTGGCAGTGAGCTGGCCACGTCATTGCAGCAATACGGGGCATGTACTGCGCCTAACCGACGGCTCCTGCCTCGCCGAGTGTTGCAGGCCCGCCAACCATGCCGGCCCCATCGGGGCTGACACCCTCGGACAGCTGTTACGTGAAGCATCTGCCAGCCAGCTATGGAGTCCAAGAAGTGCAGCAGCTATTTGAGACCCACGGCGCGGTGCTGGATGTCAAGCTGTTCCCCTGCCTAGGTGGGCTTGCGCCGCTCGCGCCCCAGCTGATGCGCCATTCTCAGGTGCACGCAGCGAGGAAGTGTTTAGAGTTGATGGGACTAAGTAGGATGCCAGGCAGGCTATCCCGCACCATGCTCGCTGAGCAGCCCACCTGTCTTGCTGCCCCTGTCGCCCTGCCCCACAGACCAGTTCCGAGGCGCCAGCGCACTGGTGCGCATGGCATCTCTGGAGGCAGCCGACCGAGCGATTGCCGCACTCAACAACAGCACGCCGCCAGGGGCCGTGCAGTCACTGATTGTGCGGTTTGCCGAGTCGGCAGCAGAAAAGGCGGCACGGTTGAGCAGGCGGGAAGCGAAGAGCATGCAGCGCGTAGGCGTAAACGGCAGCTTGCAGCCTGGCATGAACGGCGTGGCACTGGCGCCCGACCAACTGCAGCAGGCACTGTCGGCGCTAAGCCTCGGTAGCGGCATGGCTGGCCTCCAGCAGGCAGCGGCCCTCCGGACGCAGCTACCGCCTGCGCCTCTTGTGCCGCAGTCCTACCAGCCGCAAGTGCTGTCCAGCATCTGCATTAAAGGTGGGCAGCTGCGCTGTATGCACCCCGGCTGCTCAGCAGCCGACAGGGTTTGCACCTGGCCATGTTGGTGCGGCAATTCATGCGTGCTGCCTGGTCATGGCCCTCGCTGGCACACATGCTGCAGGGATGCCAGGCAATGCTGACCGGCTGTGGGTGTTCGAGAACTTTTCACGCTATGGCGCCGTTGCCGGCCTGCGCATTCTCATTGATGAGGCCAGCGGGTTGTGCAATGGCACAGGGTGAGATCATAATCGGGATCGGAAATGTATGGCATGCTCAGCTACTGCTTTTCATGTCGCTTGATGCCTTATGTCAGGAACGCTTGATGCCTTATGTCAGGAACGCTTGATGCCTAATGGCATCGACCTTTTTATTTACTGCGCCGCCCTGCTGCAGGTTTGTGAACTACGCCGATTCCAGCGCCGCAGAGCGTGCCCGGCAGGCCATGAACGGCATGCGGGCAGGCGACAAAATTCTTCACGTCATGGTGCAAACCAACCACAGCAGCAGCAGCGGCCTGGTCAATGGCAGCAGGACGCAGAGCGGCGGCATGGATGCTGCTGCCGCTGCTGCCATGCTGGCTGCGGCAGCGGGGCAGCAGGTGCTGCCTGCACAACACGACTGGCCGCTGTTGCCGCCGGCCAACCCGGCAATGATGTGGTAACGGGTGGCGCTGCACACCAAGCTGGATCGCTGCCGTGACGCGGCAGTCTCAGTGTGAGCGTGCCCTCTGCGCCTGGTTGCTTGCATGCCATCCCAGTTGGGTATTTCACAATGGCTCAAACAAAATTACCAATTTCCACCCGCTTCGAACCTGTCTAATCCACACTTCGATTCTATTGCATGCACGGTTAAACCTATCCCCACCTCTAGTACCCTACTTGCCCTCCGTTCCCATCTCTCTCCCTACTTGCACTCCTTCCTTCATGCGGACTTTTCCAAGCCACACACCGTCAGTGTCACCGCCCTACCCCGCGTGCCCCTTGTGCATACCCTTGCCTGAAGGAAATAATTGGGTGCCTCACGGTGCCGATCTTTCTCGACTTGCTCACAACTTGTGGGAGCGCCTGCTCGAGGGAGCGCCTGCCTCTCTTTCCCAAGTCCACGTTCAGCTCTGCCGCCGTATTTCTTTTCGAGTTAACTCCCAGCCCAGTATTACCAGTGTTTTTTTAAATCTTGCCGTGTGCCCGCCACCACTGTGGCAAAAACATCCCCCATTTTTTATGCCCAGAACTTTGATTCATTTCAATGCCATTGCTTTGGAAGAAAGCAAGATGAACAAAGGTCGCGCCCTACAGTCCTGTGAAGTGCCTGCTGAGCCACGTCAGCGCCAGGTGAAAAGTCTGTTTATCGGCCTTGGAGCCTGCCGTCCTCCCTCAGAGCCCACAATTTGAAGCTCTCCCGCCAACTGGAACTGGCCACCAGCTCACGCGGCGGTCAGCCGCGAATGGCTGGACCGAGCGCGGCAGCCTACTCCCCTGCGGCCGTCAAGCTAGGTCGCAGCTTGAAAGCGGGGCGGTCGCAACGCAATGCAACGCGTGTGGCGCCCGAGCCTCTTTCGTGCCCGGCAAGCAAGCTCAACTGCTGACCATCGCCGGCTGATGCCAGTCTTGCCGCAGCGCCTTAACTCTCGTCGCCTTGGTGGTGACCGGCTTCTGCAATTACATGCAGGAAGATGGTGCCCCTGTGCATGCCGGACCCGCGCAAGCCAGCCCGGCACTCGACAGCCTTCCCGCCGTCCCGCCTGTGTGCCCACCTGCCCCAGCGCACGCCCCTGTGGCTTCGGCAACAGCTGCAGCAGTGGAATGCAGTCGCAAGGCCGTGGATGTCATCTTCGCTGCCGTTACCGGATTTTCTGCAGCGCGACCTGGCACGGGTTGGCGAGCATCAGATCCGCCAGGCAGCGCAGTCCTGCAGAGCGAGTCACCGGTGCAGGCCGCCGCTCAACAGCCTGCCTTGCCAACAAGGGAGGGCTACAGAGACAGCTGGCTTGCAGGAGGAGGGGGAGGTCTTGGACAGCCGCCCAGCCTTCACCTGCAGCCAGACGCCGGAGCAGGCAGATGTGAGGGCCGGCAACAAGGATTCGCCTGCCTGCCAGCCACCTGCATCCACTCGTCGCCTCGTCAAGGCCAGTCCTTGACCGCCCCCAACACCAACAGGTGCTCTACTCGCCCCGATATGCCCACCGATTCGTTGTACGAGCGGCTGAAGCAGCGACGGCCGATGGAGCAGCAGGAGCAGCTGCAGGAGTTGGAGGTGTTTTGGGGCGAGGATGACCTGCAGCTGACAATTGCATTCGGAGTTTGTGCTTGGAGCTCAGCCTTTAGAAGCGCAGACTGGCTGGTGGTAACAGGCTTGCCCACACATCTGCTCATGTGAGCTGTGTAACTCAGTTGAGTCACTGAGCAGCTTTCTTGAACAGAGACGTTTGCTGCCGGCGCTCTTTGCTGGCTTGGGTTGCAGGAGCGGCGGATGGAGCTGCAACGGCGGGCACAGGACGAGGAACTTCTGGAGAGGTTGAAACGGCGCGTGGCTGGGGACAAGGTGGACGTGCCACGGGCGGTGCAGCGGCTGAAGAGCTTCCTAACACCGCGCACTGGAAGGGGAGGAGACAGTGGTTCCGGCCTCACAACGCCTGCCAGCAGCAGCGCAAGGCGGCCGCTGTCGGCAGCTGTTGTCGCACCTTTAGCCCAACAGAATGCTGCAGGGTCTGCAGATGGTCTGAGGCTGGATACTTCCGAGGGGCAGCGGCCACCAGCTCATGGCTGGACAGCATGGTGGCCCAGAGTACGGCACGCAGCAGAGCATCTCACGGCCCACCCTGACTTCCAGGCGCTTGTCATGTCTGTCATCCTGCTGAATTGTCTAGGTGAGGCGAGCAATTCACCTGGGCGCAGCGCCTCATTTTGGCGCAATCACTGGCATTGCAACGCCCCCAACCCCCCTTTGTGAGTGCCAGCTTGCCTTCCCTTTGTTGCGCCTCCTCTCAGCGCTGGCGTTGTACCGCCCCTCTCTGGAGGCTGACAGCCGGTGGAACAGGATTTTGGAGGATGTGGGTGAGCCGTTTTGCTGCTGCCCCTACTCCCTGCTGGCGCGCTGCTGGCCGAGCCATACGTCACTGCTGCTGCCCTTACTCCATCGGTATTGTTCCCAAAATGTTGACTCTGAGAAAAGATCACGTGCACAGCACTGCTGCTGTAGATGTTGCTGTCAACATTCTTTTCACTCTCGAGATGGTCCTCATGGTTGTTGCAGCAGGTGGTCTTATCGAGTACCTCAGGTGGTTACTGCCTTGGAATGGACAACACCTGCTGGCTTCCCTCCTCCTGTGGCTTCCCTTTCATGTTTGATGCCCCTATTATCTTGCAGGGGGCCATGGAATGTTTTTGACTTTTGCATGGTGCTGGCTGGCTACACCGCCTTCATCCCAGACAGTGCGTCCTCATCCAGCAGCAGCTCCGCGTCTAGTGCCTCTGCCATCCGCGCCTTGCGGGCGCTGAGGGCGCTGCGCCCGCTGCGCACCATCACCCGCTTCGAGTCGCTGCGCTCCATCGTGGTCTGCTTCCTGGAGGTGCGCTGGGAAGCTCTTTGACGCTTTGGCAGGCAATGGCGATTGTGGCAAGCAGCACCGGCTGCCTAGCCTGAACGTGTGTGCTAGGCTGCATCGGTGCAGGCAGTCCCCATGCTTGGGAGCCTAATTGCCCTGCTCTACTTCTTCATGCTACTCTTTGCCATTGCGGCGACTGGTGAGGTCGGGGGACTGGAGGCAAGATTCGGCCGTGGAGGCAAGATTCAGCATGCTAGGTTGCTGCCACTAGCGACTGCTTGCTTGCCATCCCGCCTGCAGTGCTGTTCCTGGATGTCGCCTACTACTCGTGCATGGATGAAAACACTGGCGAAATGCCCGAGGCGGCTGCCGGGAGCGAGATCTGGGGCTGTGGTTCCCGCATTTGCCCTGCCAACATGACCTGCATGGTACGCAGGCGTGCGTTGCTGTTGGCGCAGGCAACAAGGAACAGGTTTTGGGATCCCTATGAGAGTTTGCCCCCGCAACACCGTCTGCTACAGGAACATCCCTTGCACCCGCCGCTCAAAACTGCCGGCTTTGGGAATGTTGGGCTGTCTCTGCTGTCCCTGTTCCAAGTGGCGACCCTGACCGGCTGGTCTACTCAGCTGTACATGGTGATGGATCGTGCAGGCCCCTTTTCCTTGGTCTTTTACATCTTGTACATCTTGCTGCAGTGCTACTTTGTGGTGAGGCGCATGACGCAGGACAGGATTGAGAAAACGTGCACCCCGCCTGCCCGCTGACAGGCAACTTCTCTGCCTGTCCTGAACCGATGCAGGTAAATCTTTTCCTGGCAGTACTGAAGTTTCAGTTGGCGGCGGCCACGTCGCTCTTATCTAAGGTCGTGACTAGTCATGCCAAGCCATGCAGCACCCTGATGCTGGCATGGCAGGCGGTACGGGCACGCACCCAGCAGCACATGGCCACACGGCGCAACGCCTTTGAGGAGCGCATGTCTCAGCGCTCGTCGCGAGCCACCAGTGCCAGAATTCCCGACCACCTGCAGGTGCATGACCGCATGCAAGCCCCAAGCCTGTACCCTACCTGTGCGCTCCTGTGCTGTGCCGACCTGCAGCCCGTCTCCTGCTTTGTTTTGCAGGGGCCATCAGCAGGCAGTGGCCTAGCTGCAGAACGACGTGTGCCGCCTAGCTTTTGTAGCATGGTTGCAAACTATGGGTTTGAGTTTCGGTGGCATGTGCGCCAGGTGCGCGCGGAGTGACCTCGGCAGCAATAGGGACGGCCGCTTGGTCTTGGTGCTAAGGGAGGCTATTGGCTGCAGATGGTGGACCATCCGGCGTTCACATGCACATCTATGGCTGCTGTTCTGGTTAACACAGTGTTGCTGGCGATGGCCAGAGCAGGTGCGAATTGGCATTGATCACTGCGCACCTGCCAAGTTTCTCCTGCTGGCTGCTGCTGCTGGTTGCCACTGTTAAAGGGGCCTGGCCCCAGCGCGATGGGCCGTAGGTATGTCGCTAGAGGAAAAGCAGCGGCTGGACACTGCATCCATGGTGTTCACGGGCTTGTTTACTGTCGAGTGCGCTGTCAAGCTGCTTGGTTACGGACTGGCGGGTTTCTTCGCGGATGGCATGAACTGGTTTGATGCCATCATCGTCGTGCTGTCCCTTGTAGACACCTTTGCCTCGGTGAGTGTCCTCCTGGCTGCAGACACGAGCCCTGGCTATGCCCAGGCGCTGGATCTGGCCTCCAATGTTCTGACGGGGCTATTTGCGCTCGAGATTGCGCTCCAAATCCTGGGCCTGGGCGCTTGGGGCTTCCTGTCAAATGCATCCAACGTGTTTGGCTTGCTGCTTGTGGTGGTGGGGCTGCTGGAGCTGGCACTGACGGTGCGCAATGGCGCGGCATGCAAATGCCTGCCAGCATGCTACTTTGCCTGACGGCCTGACGCCTCGTCCATGCTGCAGATGGGTGCCAACGGCAACGCCATGCGATCCTTCCGCACGCTGCGTGTCCTAAGATCTTTCCGCGTGCTAAGAATCCTCAAGGTGAGGCATTAAATCAGGTGATTTTGGGCGTGCATGTGTGCAGCCTGAGCCAATTCTTCATGCGTCGACTGTTTTTCATGTGCAGGTCCTTCGCTTCCTGGACGGCCTCAGGGTCATCTCTGAAGTGATGATGGGCTCCATGGGGCAGTTCTGTGCCGTGGCATCGCTCATGGTAGGTGCAGGAGCTGGTTGGCCGTTTGCACGCCGTGCAGGGTGATCACCTGGGCCTTTGCTGACCCCTGCAGACACTATTCATCTTTGTGTTTGGGCTGATCGGGCTTCACGTGTTTGGCCAGCAGGCAGGCCAGTCACAGACGCGGCAGCCTAGCTTCCTGGGTATCGTGAATGCGTTCATTCTGGTCTTTCAGACGCTCACACTCGAAGATTGGCCCGATTTGATGATGGAGACGCAGGCAGCGGCAGGTGGGCATTGCAGACCTTGGCAGAAAGCAATTCCATACCGTACTTTATAGCATGGAACACTTGGGATTTCCTGCAACACCACTTTCCACTACAGGCTGGCCGTCTGTGCTGTTCTTCGTTTCGCGGGTGACCGTGGGCAAGTGGATCATCCTCACGCTCTTCTTGGCGATCACCCTCTCTGCATTCGAGCAATCTTACGACTGAGTCGCAGGCACCACTGGTGGTGAGCATCCTCCTGGCAACATGCACTCGAGTAGCTGGTGATGCCTGATGCGGATGCGTTATGCCTGACTGCCGTGTAGGAAGCCTGTCCAGGACGCTGGTTAGCCTGCACCAGAAGCTGCTTTCCCTCTGTAGCTGCTGCTGTTGCCGGCCGCGGCAGTGGCAGTCTGACCCAGAGCAAGCCGGCAGCAAGCCGATATCATGCCACCTCACCCCATTGCCGCAGCACGCGGATAATGATGCGCCCCCTCTGCTCAGTGATGCAGAAGCCAGACAAGCAGCTGATGTCCTGTCTGCTGCTATGTTTCTCAAGGGTGGAGGGTTGGTGAAGAGCAGCCCTACACCCGGTGATAAGGTGGCAGCCGATGAGGCACACTTGGACCCAACAGTTGCCGGCAGTCGGCTGACAGCTCCTCCACCCGCCACAACTGAGCAGGAAGAGTTGATCAAGGCAGCCGCAAACATAGGCAAAGATGCAGTTGATGGCTGGCTTTCAGATGCTGCTGCACAGCAGCAGCAAATCCAGCGGCAGCAGCATCCCCGGAAAGATGAGAGCCCCTTGCCCGCAATACCTTGCCATGTCAGGAGCATGGTGCAGCGCTTTGACTGTGGATCGATCACTGCTTGCCCCCAGCAGACAGAGCTAGGCTCTGCAGCAGGCGGTGCTCTGAAAGCCTGCAGCGTTGCCGTCCCAGACAGCCTTGACCTGGCCATGGCACCCATGCAGCCGGAAGAGCAGCCAGCAGCCGCCGGCCCTGCAGCTGGCCCACAGGCCATCCCTTGCGCCCCAACCAAGCCCAAAAGACTCGATTTGTCGGTGTGCCGGAGATTGACTGGGATTCTGACCTGCACAGCCCTCTTGCGCCTGCTCCTGGCAGCGGTGGTAGTTGCAGCAGAGGAGATGGCTACGATGCTAAGCTGACCCTGAAAAGTGCTTTGCATGAGGCAGCCTCCAATAGCTTGCTGCCAGTCGGTAGTTTTCGGCTCAACACAGCGGAGCGTCTGCTGGGTAAAGAGCTGCTGGACGATGCATCACAGCTCAGTGGCATCAGCGGTGCTAGCGGGAACTCATCGTGTAAGTGTTCCCCACCAGATGTTTGCTTCCGGCTCCCAGACCACATCCCAAGACATGCGTTTCCTGCTGCAGTGAGCAGCCACTTCAGCCGCCTGGCCAATCATGCACGCCGCCGCAGCCGCCGCATGGACTACCCTCCCCTCCGAGGCGTGTTGCTCTGGATTTTTCAGGCAAGGGAGCTTTCCGTTTGTGTATTGTATTGAAATCCAAGTTGTGTTGGACTGGATCGATAGCTGGCGCCGAGTTGCAGGTGGATAACCCGGTGCGTGGCTTCCTGTACCGAATCATGACCATGCAACTGGTGGACCACTTCCTGGTTCTGGTCGTCCTGCTGTCCTGCATCGAGGTTGGTGACGGCTAGGTGCCAATTCATTGATGCAACGCCAGGAGGGTTTTCTTTACAGGGTGGGCAGGCCTGGTTGCCGGGGATGGTTCAAGCCTTGGCGAGAAACTTGGCTCTTGGACCCGCACAGATGGCCATGGAGACTGCCAACATGGATCCAAAAGCTCACAAAACCATCGTATTGTACTGGATTGATGTCGCCACAACCGTCACCTTTGCCCTGGAGGCGGCGTTAAAAGTCGTGGTTTTTGGCTTCCGGCCATTCATTCAATTCAACACTAACAAGGTGCTGTGGGGCTGAGGCAGCCTACAAGGTCGGCAGAGGCCCGGATCCTGTTTCCCACTGCTGTTGCTTGCAGCTCGACCTGGCGGTAGTGGCTGTGTCGGCTGTGGTGCTGGTGGCGGAGACCGCCCAGGCGAAGTTCCTTAAAGTGCTGCGCGTGCTTGCTTGTGTGGGCTTAAAGTCTGGTAAAGCAAGAACTAGCTTGCAACATAGACTCCCCGCCGAAACGGGACGGGAACCGGGCGAAAGCAGAGAAAGCAATAAAACAGGGGTGGAGCAAGGCGACATGCAACGCAAGCAGCTGACAGGGCACGCATCGAAACGTGTGTATGACTGGCAAAGTGGCATGGCGCATTGGGGAGAAACGCAACGGTACGGGAGCATGGGCTGGCCAAACGGCAGTGCGGAACGCTAGGTCACTAGAAAAGCAGGGAAAGGCGCACTATGTATGCAATGAGGGCAGCCCCGGCTCGGGGCCGTTGAGAAAGCAGTGGGCGGGAGGGGGGAGGCCCCGGTGTGGGCGGGCCCCATCGAGGGGGGATGGGGCGCGCAAGCGCCCAGATGGGGCGGGGCGCGGGCGGCAGTGG